TCGACTGTAAATCCAATTTATTTTGCACCGGGAACCAATAGTGAAGTGCAAATAAACTGATTTGCGTGCAAATATCGACGGCAGTTCGCGGTCAACTTTACTGGACTTTTTATGGAATATTGATCGGTTATTTGTACTTCTTATCGTATAGAGTGGCTCGAAAACATTATAATCTTTGCATCGTTCAACAGACAAAGTCAATCAAATTCATTCAAATCTCTGACGCTTCGGAAAATATTGAACTTAATTAATTTGTTTAGTTTGCATCTGTACATGTGAATGGAGCAGCTATCGATACGCGCTGGTATTCGTATAATATGTACGACATTACTGATATGGAAGACATGTGTCCCACTATTAAGACGATAACTTAAGCCGACGGCGCCACATGCAGTAATTTATTCCCCGCTATTACAGTATAACTAAACTATCCATCTACTGACTATTCAACGAAAATAAAATCGGTAAGTGTTTCAAATGGGTGTAATTTAAAAATGACGAGACTTGTCCTCGAAGAAGAGAGAAATATTGATGGAATATACTTTGTTTTTTTTTGCTGCGATTTATTTTACAATGTAGACAAGAAAATGTAACCAAACCGTTTGCCCTTTTCAAGAAGACGGATAAGCTCTCGATGTAGCTTTACCATCTTACGTAAGGCTACAAACAAATATACACATAAAAGTAATGTGCCAATCACTTTGCCAAGTAAAAAGAAAAAGATTTCGCGAAGAAAAGCTTTGTTCAAGTAAACTGCTTTCCCCTACATTAAGTTTCATTCCTGATTAAGCAAAACAAAAACAGGAGAAACTAGAAAGTCCCCAGTGTCAAGAACTCGGGCGTCAGCAATTTGCTACATTTCCATTACTCACAGGTAATGTTGTTCCGCATTTACGAGCTAGTTTTATTATGCACTCAGTTGCTAATTAAGCTGGACAGCCCTCAACTAGAGTGCACTAAATACATTAATTCTGCCGCTAGTTATTGTTTTCATTTTTCGCTGACTTTCAAATCGGTTGAGAGGGCTCTGCATGACATTAAAAATTTGTCGGCAGTCGTCTCCGGTTGGCGTTGAATTATTCATTAGTTGTAGCGTCGATTGAATTAAAGGTTGTATCTGAGCCCCGACATGGTCTCAGCGCTCTATTTGCATATCAGACATGTTCCGATTGCACCAGATGCTGCTAGGTACATTGCCTTTGATAAGCTATCGTCTAGCTAACGCGTTAGTGAGGTCTGAATAGCTATATTGTTAATAGTTTATCAAGTTATGCACAGAAATCCAGGACGTTTATTGATCGATGGTATTCCGCTTTGTAGAAATGTTATTTTAAGACAAATTAACTTCAAGATCAACGCAACAAAAGGTATTCATTTTATTTAGGTAGGTATAGGTATATCGTAGACACGATAAATAGATCAAATCTTAAAAAAGCAATTTTTGAATTTAATCATATTTCAATTGTAGTATAAGTATAAGCATTCATATTAAAGCTAATCACGTAGGTACTTTAGAACGACAGTTGCATATTCAGAAGCTGTATGCATTCCCTGACAGTCACGACAATCGCATTCACTCAAATCAGATATCACTTACACACGAAATATTCATTAAACACAATGTCACCGCCTATTTGTACTCGTATCCCATGTTATATTACAATGAGATAACAACAATGTAACTTAAGACCATCGGCAACTAACACAGAACTAAACAACACGTAATAAATGTTAATCAGAACCTTTATTGCGTAGCTCTTCAGTCAATCTATGCTAATCCATTTTGTAGGAATCGGACGATTTAATCAGACGCGTACAAATCACGACTGTATAATCTAATCTCATCTAATAAAAAAAGCTTTAAAACACGAAGATTTAAGGAAGAGGCGACAAGATGAATTGCAATGTTGGCGCCCAACGTGGAATTCTAAAAGAGAACCCCAATCGAATTCGCGCCTCTTATTACAAATTCAATGTGTATAGCCTCTTTATCATTTTAAGGCGCACATGAATGTTAATCGACTCTATAAAATATATTTTTATACACGTTATTTCTTAAAATCGTGCATTGATATCAATTTGTTGGGACGTGACGGGAATTTGATGAACTAAGCGTGTGCGCGCGTGCCGCTGTTATCCTAAAAAATAATGCCACACATGAAGGGAGACTGGCTGACATTAGCAATAGCAGCGAAAGATTTACGACGGAAGGATGATGGAAACATTTTTCATTTTTTATTAACGTCCTCAAACATTTTTGCTACTGATATACCTATCGGTCATTAGGAAATTAGCCTTGTTACGATCTTGTAACAGTCGCAGTCGATAGTATAAATTATAATTGTCGGCAAAATAAAACAAATCATAAGGAAAAACATTCATTTAACGTGGAAAGCAAAAACAATGCTTTCTAAAATTAAACCTACCTATCTAATACCTATTAAACCTACTAGATTTAAAAACCGAATCATAAAAAAAGATTACAAAAAGTTTAGTACTGTGTCCACAATCCACAAAGAAGTATCCATGTCAGTCGATAAAACCTTTTTGCTCTATTTAACGTCGATGAAAATAAAAAACCTCCTTTTATCAGAGAGGAAATTCAATTATCTGTAACATAGTTACTGGTTGGAATGGCGAAGTAACGTCCGGTCGAAACGGTAAACTTTAGAGGAGCCCGCCTAGGGCTGTGTAAGGGTAGTTAGCAGTTGTTTGCATACAACCCAAAAGCCCCTTTTTGTCATGTCCTGAATAATAGCATTGTTTATAGCTGCGTACATATAGTACGGTATACGTATATAGTATGGACCCACAAGTATTTATGTTCACAAGTGATTTACCGCAGCGCCCATTGACATAGAAAGTTTCGATGCTGCGGTTTGTATTCGCAATCGCGATGTTGATTGCCTACTTATAGTATTTTATTTATAAATAGCTTGTCTGTTACTAAGTCAGCTTTTAGCGTTAAAGTAATAACCTCAGTTAATACAAGTGTTAGGGTTACTTTTGTTTTAATTAGCCTCTTTTTGTATCTAATTTTCATTAGGTATTTAGAAAATAACATCTAAGCTAGTACCCTAGCTACATAACCTAAATCATCTTTATTCAACCACACCAACACTTATCAGTTCTCACAACGATTGCCAAACAGTCTGCTATCAGCTCAAACCATCTAGCCAGCCAGTTTTACAATTCATGTCAGTTAAACGTACCGAACGTGATACGTTTTCACAGTTCGACAAATTCATTCTATGAATGTACTATTAGATAATATATTAGCACTTCTCTCGTGAGTTTTATTCTTGGACCAGCTTTATGTCCTATATCAAAAGAAGCTCTAGTATCCCTTAGCGTTAGAATATCCCTACCTAATTTTATTTGGAGCAGTCAAAGAGACTAGCTTTTACTGAAAAAGAAGTCGTAAGAACAGTTTTCATTACAAAGGTTCTCTCTAGAGGTTTGCTGGTTTCTTTGTTGAATGTAAAACCTACTCCATTTCTTCATGACATTAAGCATTATCAGCAACATTAGGGTATTATCAATTGGACTTTATTCTTATTAATAGAAATGGGCAAAAAGAGCTTTCTTATCATACTTTGGAACAGGCTGACGAAGAGGCTGAGAACTGTCTTGCATGGACGTCAGAGTGCGCTACTAAAAGTAATTGTAACAGGATACAGTACAGTGCGCATGCGACGGGCCGTGTCTATCCAGCTCTCCTCTAACCACCGATACATAAACACCTGGCCACCAGACCAACCACTTTCGCGAAACGTGGACCGGCTTTTAGCAAAAATTTGATCAGTGAAAGTCAAGAGTGATACGTAGACTGCGCCAGCGTAACTCTCAGGGGTATGTTTGATTAATTTAATCGATAGTATCGCTAGAATAAATCCAAAATATTTCATTAGGACTATTTTGCATAAGCTGTCAACATTTTATGTCTGCCCCAGTACTTTACTCTTGATGGAGGCTCGTAGTGTTAGATTGCGGGTCGGCTTCGGTACTATCTCCGGCTTGACGACCGGCCTTTCCTTTTTTATGTCCAATACCGTCAGTAGAGCACATTCAATTAACAGAACTAAAATTTATGTGGTCCCTGCTCGCTTCAAAAGTCCGGCCAATATTTCACCGGCACGATAACAGCAGTTAAAACAACAGTCATTTATATTAAACTTATCTGAATTATTCTGAACGGACAGGATCTTCACTGGATCTTATTTATCAGATGGCAACGATATTAAAGAGATCTCATTATGTTGTAACACACTTTCTCCTTTATCGATTTTTATAGCTGGTAACACTAGATATCTATGCTTATAGTTAGCAATATATCAATTTACATTTCCATTAGCATTAAAATCAAGTTGTTATCGTTCCATTAAAACCCCCTAATCGACTGCTACGCTACAGATATTTACAAAATCGTAAACACGATATTTATTCGGTCCGTAATCATTTAAGTAATCTAAGCTGTTTTTATGATTATGCAAAACGGTAACAAGTATCAACGTGGTCGATTTTGGCTTTAAAAATGTTTCGAGAAATGATTCACACAGATAGTGATGGTTTATCGAGAATATTAGATTGAGTAGCTGCGGAGCCGTATCTAGAGCCAATATACTTAGCGGGCAGTAGCTCGATCGCCAGTGGGGACGCTATCGTCAGATATGGCGTCAATTTGCAGTAATGCGGCGGGCAGGTTCAAGTTACTTTTTATAACACACTCGAGGTCGTTGACTGCAGACTAAACAACACATAGTACTTGGTGCAAGGTGTCAATGCACCGGGAAAACATCCAACCTTCGTTACAATTAGGTATTGTTAGACAGTTGTGAAAGTAGATAACATGGCACATCTTCCAAGGATCGACTGGTATCTTTTGAGAAATAATGAGAACGTACTGCAAAATGTGGCAGAACAAAATTTCTAACCATTTCATACCGCAATAATCTTTTTCATATCCTTCTTCATATTTTTCGACAAAATCAAATGATGAAATGGAATCCGGATATCATCTTTTAGTCACTTCTGGGAACGCAGATAATAGGAAAGCAAACGAGCAGACAGAGCATCTGGACACAGCAAATGAAAAGTAAGCAGCGCCACCCATGGACACCTGCAACCCAACACCATAGTAATCGCAAATGCTTTGCCTGTGTATAGGGAGAGTTAAGAATTTGAGAATTAGGAGAAATGGGGTAGGAAGGTGACGCAAAATTATCGACATAGCCCAAAGGATTAGCAAGCTGAAGTGGCAGTGGGTAGGTCACATCTGTCGAAGAACCGATGACCGCTGGGGTAAACGTGTTCTAGAGTGGAGACTACGTCTAGGCAAACGTAGTGTAGGGCGCCCTCCAGCTAGGTGGACTGACGACATCCGCAGGGTGGCTGGCAGTGGTTGGATGAGAAGAGCTGAACATTGAGCTCAGCGGCGTGCAATTGGGGAGGCCTATGTCCAGCAGTGGACGTCAACAGGCTGATGATGAAGGTGACGCAAGATTTGGGCCTCCTATTATCGCACTCACACAGCAAAATACAACGTAGGTAAGTGTTGTCCAACCCTGTTTACTACATATTACTATTATAGTAGATATTTTCAATACTACGTTGAGTATGTTCGATATCAGTGTCAATATTAAATATGTCGATGCGGCTGCACGTGCGTCATATGATATCTTTTATCGACAAACTTGCTTGCACAAAAACAACTGAAAAATGGACACATACGTCACAAATATTCCAATTTTTTATTGCGATTTCATTTATAAATAATGTAAAACCTCTATTGCGTGTCAAACTAATCCGGAACCGTGACATCGTTTCTTAACTTTGGCTCCGTGAATAATACTCGTTACGAAATAAACACATTAAGAAAAAGATTGTTATACAAAAATAGCACGTAACCAAACCAGCCAAGCTTAATTGCTGCCAAAATATGCAATCGTGATAAAAGAAATACCGCAATATATTACTTGTCTCGCCATCTTAATGTATTCTTAGAAATGCTTCCAAAGCTACCTACATGTGGCTTTAGAAAGATCAAATGATAAACGACATCGCAAAATGGACCGGTTCAAAAAGTCATCAGAATACAGCGAGTGTCATCCCGCTGTCGCCGCATAGCACAGCCGCTGCGATTTATCATCTCTTGTATAGGCACTCTAATTGCGACAACTTGTCGCCATGTCCAATCGTAAAGACGATATCTCCCCTTATACCGAGCCGCGACCACGTCTCACGCGCCACGCTCCCAACAGCCCTTATTTCATTAAACTTTTCAACTCCAACGTTTACAAATACATTGCAATTTTGTAAACGTTGTTTATAGCCCATTTAGAGGTCAATGAACCACAATTAGCAGTCAAGAAATAATTCTACGACCACCTTAAGAAGGGTCGTCGGATGAATTTTAATTAGAAACTTTCAGAATTTAAATCTCTTCACAGAATAATGAGAAAATATTTAGTTTGGAAAGTGTTAGGTTCCATCTGAGGAACAATGGTAGTATTGTTTAGTAGCATAAAGCTGGTGTAGTACCTGTAATGCAAAAGGTGACCGATTTGCCTACATTCATAACACAGCCCGGCCTGGGCGACGGTATGGCGCTACATTACATTAAACACTTTCCTGTCCTGTCTCTGCCTTTAGCACGTACTTAGCCCTCTAACTAATGTTATTTGTCACGGTTACCTACTAAGTAAATGTCGCCTTAGATAGATTGATGATTAGGATTATTGATTTATTGGTCCACATCTAGGTCGATAGGACCGAGCGTAGCGCTGCAAAATCGAGAGCTAAGCTGATCTATTGACCCGTCATATAAACCCGCTCGAACGTTTATTAGCAAAGTCAAGATCGTCTTTTACGAGTACGTTAGCTGTATGCTGTATCTAGGTTACTAAGATAAGATCTGAAGGTGATTGCCGATCTGCCGTTTCTACTTGACGGTTTTTCTACATATCCGTGTAGACACAATACCCAATTTGGCAGAGTCATACCACAAGCATACTGTGACTTCGCACTTTTTTGCCAAACCAACCAGATGGTTGTATAATAAAACAATATTTCTGCTCATTTGTGAACATAATAGCACCGTGTCATCAACAAATTGTAACGGATCAAATTAATCTTGCTCAGTTGTTATAATGGTTTGGTTTGTCGAAATAATGATTGCGCGGGCATTGTGGTCAGCCTACGCAGGTCAATATTTTACCAATCTTTCACGGTCACTGGAAGCCCTTTGTTTTGTTTTCATTTAAAACGGGAATTGAACCGGAGTCCATTAAACTAACCGCAATACAATTTTCGGGCTGTACTTGCATACTACGTTTTAATTAAACTGGGGCCCGGCTTTTAGTGTGGCGTTCCTACTTCGTTAATAGCTCTACGTACACAACGACCACACGCCACCAATTATGTCCTGCCATCAAGTACATGATTTGCCAATATCGATAGGACTCTCTAAATTTCTAGGCACTTTACACACACGCAACATCAGAACTACAACAGACTGATGACGAAATTCAAATTACCATTTCAATTTGATTTAATTACCAAGAAGAATTAGATTTTCAACAGAGGCGGCTATACATCAACAAGAGCGTGTGAAAAGGGGCTCACAGAAGCACTTGACATAGGAACGAATGCCATTAGTTGCATAGAAAAAATATTCGCTGTTTGGAATGTAGATCAAATCCACTTATAGTTTTATGGCAATGCGAGTGTCACTACATAACATACCACATGTGCTGCTAGAGAATGGATGACGATGTAAGTGCAATTGCCACTTGTCCGTATTAGCTTCTAATGATATAGGAGCTAAGTGCGAGAAGCTATTAAGTCGACATTAGATTGCCAGGGCTGGCGGTGGCGGCACGGCCCGCTTGCCTGGGGCCGAGCGTTTGATTAGCTTGTTATACCAAGTATTTGCTCTGGTTTTCGCGACGTGTCTTATCTATGCAAGACCGTCGTGCCGTCCCATATCATCCCATAAGAGTGTGATAGAAATCTCTGCTACTGTTGCTACCAAATAACTTTTGTTTACTTGCCCGCCTTTTTAATGTTCCATAATAATTACTGCTTCGATTCGTTCTGCAAATGTTGTTAAAAACTTAAAACATTTCTCTCTTGCCCTACAATTAACATTGAGATTTATATCTCGCAAATAAATGTCTTACAAATTATAGACCTGCGGAAAGTACTGTGAACAAAGTTAAAAGGTTAACAGGGTTATTGTGACGGTTTGTATCGATTGTGGTGATTCGTGACGGAGATGTCCTCAAGTCCTCGCGCTAGGCAAGGCGCGAGGCTGCGCGGGAGAGGGCTGCTCTCGCGCCGGCCTCGATGTGCCGCCGCCTTATATGGCGCTGGCGGCCAACGGGCTCTGCGGCGACTTGCAACAGACCAGGTATTTTAGGCGCAGGCCCTAAATTGTTTACGTGTAACTCGCATGCGCTTAATTTCATTAAAATGTCATGGCGCCACTTAACATGTGTTATACTTGTTTTAAATTTACACAGAACTAACTACTACTGCCTGACGTAGATATCTTCGGTAATGACTTCTAATTATAGTTAAACGTTTAGAAACGACATTTCAATCGCAATCAGAAAACAAATTCCTATCTCGGTGTTTAAGTAAAACATGAAGGACAAACTCCTAAAGGCAGTCGTCAACTTTTTGCATGGTAGATCCATAGAAAAAGTATTTGGTCATTAATGACATTGCCGAAAATATCACAGATATCCAAACTAGGTCGAACAATCGAATATTGGAAGTAGCGAGGGATTCAGGAGCGTTAGTTGATTCGATTATTATGTAGCCTAATAAGGGTGTCAGGAGCATTCCCAGCGCGGTGCAAAGGACGCCGCCGAGGACGGCGCGCAAGAACCAGCCGAATACTGGTCGCGGTTATTTTAAGGAACAGACGATTCTGCGAAGCCACGCACGCGATGCACGCAGTCATCGTAATTTGGACGCTTTTGATTTTTTTCGTCGCAACCGGTTGAGTCTGTGAATCTTCGGGAAAATATTGCTCGCAAATTGTCACGTGTTTACAACAAAATGTTTAAACCTCGCCGCGGTGAAACAAAAGACTGTGATTGTGATTACTTCACACACCGATATCGAAACTGTTGTTATTGTCACTGAACGTTTAAAAGTTTCTGTGTTATGAAACTGTTGAAATAAAACACTGTGTTCACAGTGACAAGTTCTGTTTACGTTACCTACATTCGGATGTAGATTAATTTATTCGAAACAACAAATATATCTTCGGTGGGTAAGAAACGCCACATAAACTATTAAATGTTCGATAAACCAAAACAGAACCGCGTACTTATCGCTTTATCGAGACATTATCAGCATCGATAAAGGAACCGTACAAAGTGTGGATATCTACGAATCAGTCGAGATAAGCTTGCAACGTACCACGAACAGGTAAAATGTATTGAAAGTGAACATTCGATAATGTATCGGCGAACTGCAGTCTGCCTCCAAAACAGTCTTACTTATTTATAATACTTTTATATATTGATGATAGAAGAATGTAGAGCGATCTGAGTAATTAGGAACAGTACATTCACCGATCATGAAAGGTTATAAAACATCACAATAGCAAAAAATAAATAAATTAACAAATCTATAGGTACTAATATTATAAAGAGGTAAAATTTTTAAGTTTGTATGTAGGGGGTAATCTTTGGAACCGCTGGTCGGATCTCCAAAATTCTTTCACTGATACATAGCTACAATGTTCCTGAGTGCTATAGGCTATAAAACATCACGCTACGATCAAATGGAGCTAAGTAGCGGGTGAAACCGCGCGAGAGTAGCTAGTAATACATAAAATAGAAGACACAGAAGTTACCTAAGACACATAGAGGAACAACAAGACAGACGGATGAAGACTGAACATTAATTCGAATGGCCATTAATGCAGAGTTACAGCATCTAGAATGTTCGTTATCGGCCAAGCAGACAGACCTGCTTCCAATGAATATTCAGCCGCTAATATCCTGACCACTCTAGTGTATCGATAGCCACTCGAGACGTATTACTGCAACAATTATTATCGATATTTCCATACAAGTCCTTATAATATACGGTGGTAATATTGCGAAAAGGAATGATTACTGAAACCAGTGTAGGTAGTTTTTTATGATTTACTCTTGATCCACTAGGATTTACTCCTGTTTTCTGTGGTTATAAACATATTATCCACATTACCCTGACCCGAAACAAACTCTAAAATGATTTTGACTTTGGACTTTTCAAAAATCGTTTTGTGACCCGACGCGCCCTCTTGCCGTTTTTGAACATCATTTTTGCTATCACTCCAACCACATTTTCTAATCTCTTTAGTTAGCTTTAATTTTAAGAGGTTGTTACCTACCATGTGTAACTCGAACACACAGTTAATGACTTCATGAGCCAATATAATGTTAAATGCTCAAAGCTTGATGGCGATGCTCGTTGGGCAGCGATCCATTATCGCAATAGGGCCAGCTAAGATGCAGACAATGTATTTACGATAAGCATACTGCCTCAGGATAACCCAGTTAGCAGAAAGGCTTCTCATGTTCGTATGCGCCACGTGCAATACCCCTAACAATGTCTAGACGTAATAAAAATAAATTTAAGATATAAACTCTCTACTTTTATGTGGTGCACCTGAATAACAAAATACACAAAACTAAATGTTTAAATTCTTGCAGCTTATTTTATATTCTCAACTTAAGACAATGTTATTCAAGAATTATGTTTATAAAACTTTTCGTTCAGTTTATTTTATAAAATGTTTCGTACAGTTTCCTTTTCATTTAAAAGTAAGGTATTATTCTATACCTTCGGTTTATGACTTCATTTAAGATTTAAGTAGTACCATGAACTTTAAAAGTTGAAATGTTTAACTTCCTTTCTGGTACAGAGTAGGCGTTTATTCTGAAAAACAATGTGCTAAGGAAAGTCCATGCACGTATTAACAGTATTAATAGCATTATAACTATACCTACATTATTATAAAACAGATTATCTGCAAAAAGGATAACATTCGTTCAGTATTTTATTATTTCAAGAAGTTTCTTGTTCCTAGTATTAACTAGCATTGTAATTTGTAATATTTGATTACCTACTTTTAGTGTAGGCAGATGTGTGGGAGCTTGTCATATTTTCGTAATTAATATTCCATTAACTATGATCACTAAAGTATTTTAGCTTAACCTTTCGTATCCACTCACTACTTCACATATTATTATAAGTAATGTTAACAAAGATTCGGCTATGTGATAGCCTTAAATCGTTGAAAGTGTTGAAACCTAAACAATAAAGCAAGAGAAAAAACCTATTTCGGCAGAACGAACCAAAAGCCTTGGACTTTGTCATCGTAGCGAAACAAAAGACAATTAAACTTGCCATAGACCACAGAGTAAAAATAACTTCAGTCTTATAGGATTTCAAATTCCACAATATGGTATCAGTGAAAACATTTCGAATTTTCAATTCTAAGCGTTCATTTCGGATTCATGTAAAAAATATCTTTCCCTTATAAGCGTGTGGAAGGACATTGTTCCACAGTTCAAAGTCGAGCCTTTTCGCGTTTACTTTTTGTTCCGACCTTTTACGCGACCCTCCTTGCCATATACAGCTTACAGAAAAACAAGCAAACTACCACTATGGCACACAATAAACAGTAAATTATTCCACATAAATATTTTATTACTATCGTAAAACCTTTCTTGACAATTTACTTTCGTTAGGTATTCAATTTTCTTGGGATCGTTATAAAATAAAATTGATTATTTTGTAACTATATGTAGATTCCGCCTACGGTTTCGTAACGATGATTCATTCAGTACCTATTAAATTTAACAACTTTAGTATAATAACTGTATCACACTAAATTGCATCACAATATAAGCAGCGTTTTAGATGATAAAGCGTAACAAACGAATAAACAGCTAATCATAGTTATAGAGTACTAGCTTCTACCAGCGGCTTCGCCCGCAGTATCAGTGTAAAAGTGGCCTGTGGTATTCCAGACTATAATCTAAATCTATGGCAAAATTCATTCATAACCGTTAACCGCAAAGTAGTATTTAAATGAATGAATTACAAACATCCATACATATCCAAACTTTCGCGTTTATATAATACCTATGAATAGAAATTTTGCCAATGTTAATGTTAAATTATGGCATACCTAGTCTATCTTCATGAGTGCTGACTACATAAAGCTAACTTATCTATAGAACTTAGCTTCTAAGAACTCATGAATCATATTAAAACCATGCAGGATTCTGTTAGATGTACCTACACGGACATCACTGACTATGTAGCTAGAGCAAGGTGACCTTATTTACACAACGTAGACAACTTTTGTCCAAATCCTTATTGAGAATGAATATATGCGTACCTAAGATATAAACAATACGAAAAGTAACCTAGAATTTACAAGTTACTAATACTAAAACAAAATAAATATTTTCGTTATCCCCGCCCGCTAGATACAAATAAACAGCTTTTTTATAGTTTTCTTCCCGTAACCATGGTGACAGATTAATAATATCGGACAGTTTAAGGAAAGTAGGACTACCGCCTCATGCATACATTTCCCGTTTTTCTAATTACACTAACATCGCATTTAGAACGAGGAAACTAGCTTAATGGCGGAGTTTAGACCCGTTTCACTTTGAATCACTAGCTATAAGTCTACGTAAAATAATGTTATGGCGTCTCCTAGCGGCGTAGACTAAAGAAATGTGAAAATGGTTCCCCAAATAGCCGGCAGCAACCTTGCACTGTCTGATGGATCAATAGAGCCTTGAACTACGCTTAGTAGCGCACGCGAAACTTAACGCACTCAAGTGCTGTGTAGAATTATACATATTTACTTACGATAAGTAGATCTAAGCTGCTGGAGTGGCATACATTAGTAAAGTGTAGAAGCCAGTTTTTTGCGATCTCAATTTACTCATACTTATCACACGTAGGTACCTATCTATCATACATTATCTAGCTATATTAAAAAATATTTTTCATTTCTTGCAATATCATTTTCCAAGATTTGATGATTAATCGATTTTAAATTTCGAATGTAAGTCACTTCGAATGACATTTAAAAGGAATTAAGATTTTTTTTTCTTTATTGGTTGCGGATCATGAGTTTAGGTCTGTGTAGCCTAAAACCGATTTTAATTAATTTATTATTGGGTAGTTTTAGTCGGATACATTTATGAATAGGTTTTTAAGCTAGATTGCCAGATAGTGAAACCATTATGAATATTGATTAAGAGGACTGCAATCTAAATAGAATCGGAAATATCTTATATTAATCGGTTAGTCTTCCTAGAAACGTTTGTGTCAATATTGAGTCTTAGATCTCGAGGATTAGGTAGTTGATCTCCGTCGTTTCGGCTCCGTAGAATGAGCTCACAAATTAATTGCTATGGTCACGCTCGGAGCTTGTCAATATCAATAAACGTTGTTCGCCCACATCCTGTACGAAACCAGTCGAAATATGTATATTTGTATGTAAGACCTAAAGAAGTGAGATTATACTGTTTTTATTATGTTATCGAAAACATCTCTATTAGACTCGAATGTGAACTAATGTAGGTGTGTGTGTGTGGCCATTTTTTTACACGACTAGCTATATGCATGTGTTTGTGAAGTAAGTGTAAGTTTTTTTAAGAATACTTACCATTATGTTTAGGTATTTGATGTTGCATGTTACATAATAAAACATAATATACACATTTTATTTCAGTTTTTAATGCTACCTCAAAAATCATGTAGGTACTCTCATCTAAGTACGGTACTTTTTAAATATAGGTAATGCTGTTCGTAAAACAAATTATGGATTTCTCATTGAAATACAACTGCGGTCGGCATCCAATTTGGTTGTGGTGAGCAACCTTTTTGTATCGATCTGCATCGATCCACCTTGAGCCTAATTCTGCTAACTGTAGCGCCAAGTTTACGACCAAATAGCAAAGCTGGGTTGATGTAATTTTCTGTGTGACATAAGCAAGTAAGTACCGTTAGGCACACACACATGTTCGTTATAATCATGTTTTAAAGTTGTTACATTATTGCTGTCTGATACATATTTTTAGACTCTTGAGTTCTTCAAGTCTACAACCTGTCTGGAGACTAGAAGTTAGTAATGGTTACGTGTTATGCATACGTATGTGGACAGTTTTTTAATTTTATTATAATTTAGATTTTATTTTCTTATTCATTTACATATTATTTCGTGAAATCGAATATACACAAACATTACTTGAAAGGAAATTAATACACCTAAGACATCTGTCAAAGTTTACAAAACACACTGCGATTTAAAAATGGAAAATAAATTACTTTTTCTTTGCTGGACTTAAGGATAGCCTACCTACATAACTCATAAAATACTATGTAGGTACGTTTGCGGCTGGAAGCACAGAGGTGAACGCAAGTCATCAATCCTGATTTAAGTAATCAATTCTTTAGGAAATATTCGAGACACGCGAATTGCGTAATCGATTAATTTATTGTTATCGTTTTCGAGATATATGTAAGTATGTATAATGGACCGTCTATCGTTAGGAAGGAAACACAGGCGCGACATTTACGTAATAAATCTGTCACTACTATCCTTGCATAATAGTTTATTTTTAGACTTCTCCGAGACGGGACTAAATCAATGTTTGTGCGTAAGCATCTGTGATTTGTGAGAAACTGTCCTGATAAGACGTTAACATTTCAACAGTTTTGCGAATTTGATACGGTTCTATGGTCATCGGTAACAATTTGACATTGACAGCGCTTTTATGGCGTTGCAATAAGAGCGGGTTTTGCTAAACACTCTTTTTTACTTGTAACTATAGTGCCTGTTATCGCCTGTCATATCCAATCTCGCTGTTTACCTACACACCGATGATACGCAACTAAGGAACTTCGACTAGGTAACTATAAGTATCTACCTACTTATCTTTCGATATCAGGTGACGATTCAGTGTCGACGTGTGAAAAACCACGCAATTACTCATAAAAATACCCAAGAATGCCTAATTACTTACATAGATATCGAATAATGTTATTCATTTAGGCTCCTTTTCATCGAACCTAATTTAATATCAAATCTATTTATTCTAAAAACATTGGCGATAGTAAGACCAAGTTGAAATTTCGGAATAATTATTCAATAAAAATATTTAGTTAATTTTCCTAGATAAATACCTAAGCAAGCGGTTTTTTTTCATTGCACCCAATATGTAAATGTGTTATCAGAACTAAATAGTATCTATCGTCCTGATAGACACGTTATTTACTAGATAAGTTACATTTTTATCAAATATGTCAAGTGGTTAGCTGTTCATAGTTGACCACCTGTTTAAGTTACCATAACAAAGTAGCAAATGAGTACCTATATTCTAGCAAATATATAAAATAAACAACTAGATGTTGTAACAGTCATATCAACATAGCTTCCCACCCAGTTTGATCGCGTAAAAAATTCTTCTTGATATCTTATGGAAAAGATCAACACTCTAGTCTGCTCTACCTTTAAATAATTCAAAACAGATTAATTACAATTAATAGAACTAGGTACCTATGTACTATTTTTTTTTAAACGGACTCGTTCGTTGATCTTCAATGCCCTACCAGCCCACTTATTTTTTAAATAGATTTGCATTAAATAATTTCTTAAGATGATTCTGTACAAGTAGCCCTACTGAAAACGCATTGCATTTTTTCAGAACAGCATGCAGCAGTTCATGCCGCCCCCTGCTCGGTGCAGGGCAGTAACGTCGCAAGCAGCGGAGCTGGACTCACCTGCGTGGGGAGCACCGTCTCCCGGCCCAGGGGTATCGACATTTTGCTAGCGGCGCCGCCGGCCGCGCCCCGGCGCCCGCCCGCGCCGCACCATCCACCGACCCGCCACTACGGGCCGCACGCCCGCTCGTCGGCTCCCACCGACGCTCACCACAAACAAGAAAAACACTTTCCCGATAACGCGATTTTCCACGACTTTACAGGACTCCAGCACCTCACTTTTGAGGTATTCCGAAGACAATTCCACACATCACGAGCAAATCCAAACATACAAAGTATCACTTATAAATACTCGGAACAAATTCGATGCATATGTATAATCAGAATACGGCAACGTTTAAAAAGCGCGATAAAATTCACGCACCGGACTAGCAGCCACCCCGTGAGGCGCGAGTGTGCGACTGGCGCGCCGCCACCGGGCCGCGGCCGTCGCGCGCATCGCTCACCCCGCGCGAGCGAGACCCTCGCACCTCGGTCGGTACGCTCGCGAACGCAATCGTATGGGGTCGCGGCACAGCCTCCTTCATCTCAGGCGGTACGCTCAGAATCCTTACGGCTGATCACATGGACACGTGCCGCGGACACGGGCGTAGTGCGGTTATCGAGCGCGCGTACACATGCGCACTGGGCAACACTATCACCGTCGTGGCCCATTCATTTGTACAGGTCTTGCCTCGAGTAGCGCACACCTGAGCAAATATTATGGAACTGGACGACAATAGATCCGTTGTTTCGAAATGAACTGCGAGTGTTACCGGAGCAGGGCAGACAATTCTGCAGCTTATTTGTTTGCTTCATTGAACATTAAATTAGCGTAAAATTGGTGCAATCACAGGGCTTGTAAAATAGAGGGTTTCGTAAGAACCTCCACGTTTGTATTCATAAATCTTATTAGCAATCTTACAAAGTAGGTAGCGTCTGAAGTAAAAAAAAAAGTAAACGAAGAGCTTAGTTTTTCGAGCGATCTTTCCGTCATATTGCACATTTTGGAAGGGACCAGCAGACCGCAAGGAGCGTGGCTGCGTGGGCGCAGCTCGAGGCTGTGTACCTACTCAATCGCTTCGCCCACTTTTCCTTTCTACTACGTTCACTGTTCCAGATTACGTCATTATCTATACTATTACTAAGTATTAGTGTTTCGTTGACTCCTCGTTACCTCCACCGTGGGAGGCTAATGCCGCTACCTCAGTACCTTAAAACCGCCTGTTTATTGTTACTGCTAATTCCTTTGTTTTCGTAATTTTGTTTTGGTTTAAACGTGCAAGTTTTGGGTAGAAAAATAAATAATCAGATAGGTAACAAATAATCAAAAGAAAAAGAATTTGAAAAGAAACATCGTGTAAACCTACGCGGCGCGTTTTCCAATTTCAAATTCTACAATATTTTCGGGAACTATTGGGTTGGGGCTCTTCCCCAACCCAATAGTTCCCGAAAATATTGTCTTTTCGCAATTTTAATATAACAACCCAGCAACTAGTAGATCATCGAATTTTGAGAGTATACATTTGTTTGTTAACATCATCATCAGCCTATAAGTGCTCACTGCTGAGCAAAGGCCTCTTTTCAGACGAAGAAGGTTTCAGCAAATATTAATATTACCTACGTATTTGTACAATGTTACTGGTACTTGGTAAAACCTTGAGGTTATATTTATTGACTAGAAACTGCCAAGAACCGCGAGCAGTGCAATCTAGAATTGGAGGCCAAGATTCAAGAATTCAAGATCCACTCTAGAGTTGGTCAGTGAGCGAATTGATTTGGCACGTCCTAAGCATGGCACATTGATCCCTATTGTGTATTAAATTTGTGTAATAATATTCGATTTATGCAGGTCGCTTCCAAAGGGTAGTCAATTCTCAGCCCTTCGGTCCACAATAAATAGTGTGTAGACTGGACCTATACTTTAGTCTCCTGAAAGAGGAAAAATTGGTATCTATATTCCAAATAAGTTTTTGTTTCTTCTTGACTCCCCAAGAGATATAAAAATTTTATTAGTACCTACGACTACTTACATACCCAAGTGAGCGAATATAAATACAGAATGCAAATCCATTCTCATCCACCCCGTGTGGGTAGAGTGAGAATATGGGGTTGAGAAGAAACCAATGGGCAAATCTTTTTTTGGAGGACCAGAGGCCTTGACTAAACGCAACCTGACCGATAAAAAAGTCGTTAAGGAAGACCGAAGTTCAGCAGAAGATGTCTTATGGCTAATTGGCTACTAGTTAAGATGATGACGAAAATTATATTATGGTCCAAATAAATAGTAGGTACTTTTATTATTTTATGGGAAAAATCACCCAATGACATCACCCGCCCTAGATGAAGCGAGAGGCAGTATGAGTCTCATCATGATTAAAAACCACTCCGTTTTTTCTCCTGCTTGCGACCTGGAATGACTGGTGACCTCTAAATAACTTTTTGCAGATGTTCTGTTATTACAAAATAGGACCTACCAACTGACTTTTCAGTCACAGGGAAATCTAACCAGACGCACGTAATTCAATTACCGTTGACCTTAAAAGTACCTATAAGAGCTATTGTCACGTACCTACCATTCCTATTTACTTACTTTTTGAATACTCGCTCTGTAAGGTGCTAATTAGTGCCAGAAAGGGCGTACCTACCCACGTAGCAGGAATTTCTCTTTGGTATTCTGTGGGTAGTGAGAAGATTTCGGAAAGGTTCAACCGATTATGATGATTCAACCTTGTGTGGTCGTAAATGGCTCTCATTCTATTCTTCGCTTGTTAGGGATGAAAAATGTGTGCGTTGGTATGGCAATTTTTCTTACAATAGTAAAAAAGGATGTGTTTGCACCGTATTGGCTTAGCCCATTCATGACTAGGTAATTACAATAATTGTCAGGGTAGACAAATGCTTATATAAACAATTGAAGGTATTTAGGTCATATCACAATGTACCTACCGTGCGTCGTCGTCGTACAAAGGAGAAGTAATTAGGTACCTAAGTATTTTTATTTTAATTTTCCTTTCCAACGATTTATTTTCACGACGATACCTAATAAAAATAAATCTTACCTGTACACCATGCATTCCACCATCGTACACCGTCCATCTGCCGTAAGTAGTCATTTTGGAGCACTTCACATCGATTCCTAATTATGACACAAAACCTCGACGGCACTGCACTTTATTTACAAAAACCGTTGTTCATGAACGCGGCACGGACGCAAACTCTGCACTGAATAGTTCTGTGTGACACTGCGGCCTCGACAAATAAACTGTTTAGTGCTTGATTAGCACAACGTGTGCAAATCGTTCAAGTCGCGACCGGGCTCCCACAAATTGAAATTGATTGTACGTTCTCGAGTCCGACTCATTGACGTGATTGAGTACAATGGATGAAATGGTCCTTGTGAAGCAGTTTGTTACCATTACTACCAGCGTTTGTTAGCTGATGCAGCTCTCTGGTCGCGGTGCCATATATTGAACAATTACTCCGAGAGCCTCTGTCGTGGCTAATACACATATTTTCACGTAGTTTGCTACCTGTGTTTTGCTTTGTGAGCAGGTGTTATGTAGGTACTTATTTGAAGTAGGAATGCAATTAATCTATTCATTTCGTATTTGGAATAACAGACTCTTTGAATTAGGATGCCGATTGTAAATATTATAAGACGGATATCAATCGATTTTGTTATTATATTAGTAGGTAGATAAATATAGCAACAGAATAGATAAGTACTTTTTTCTAATTAAAGTCCGTTGAGTCTACAACATAAATTAATGATTTCTAGACTAGAAACTCCATTCAAGGCTTGTTGTTAATTATTTAAATGTCATAAAATATATTTGCAGCTGAGGGCGGTATGTTGTACGCATTATTTATAGCTAAGTAAGCACTCAACAGTAAATTCGTTTTACCATTGACTGTTAATAATCTGGAAGGTTGCCACTTAAATTAATATTGAAAATAATTGCAAAAGAACCGTATCAAGGTTTTATTAAGTGTTGAACAGAGGTGACATTTTTTTACTTTTTTGCACCTAGTTTTTCAATCACTTGTAATTCTGGAACTTTATTAAATCTCTAACAGATTTTCGGGGGATACCTAAGTTCACGCATTCTGTATTTTTACATTATTTATCTAAAACACAAAATATTTCGGCAGCGGTGATCTTCCTTATACGTCCTTAGTCGGCGAGACCATGCATGGTGGGGAGCGAATTGAATTGGGAAGCCGTGCGAGGCCATGGCGCTGAGCGATAGGAACTGGGAAGCAGTCTTCTCTTTCTGCGAAGCAGTGATGCTCGCAAAGAAGGAGTCAGTGCGCATGAGAGCTAAACTCCTCCCGCCCCAGCCACCGCAGCAGGCTAAACTTTGGCCATCGGGGATCGAGCGACGATGTAAGTGCGGGACTGCGGACGGTAAGTAAAGGTAGCTCGCCAACCGTCTAGAACCAGACCAGATATAAGCGCCTCTAAGAGCTAGTACTCCACCACCGATGGGACCCAAGAAGCCCAGGTTGTAGGGCAAGCGCAATGTGTAAATTTTAAAATATATAAATCAAAATGTGCTTTCTACTAGTTTAGTAGGTATAGGGTTTAAAGAATAAATAAAAGGCTAGCATTGTATTCAGCGTTTAATAGCGATGTCATAGACTTATTGTGAGTAGCTGGTAATTATAACAAATTGTTCTAATGTTTTATCGATTGCTGCGTCGACTCATGCGCAAGTTCCTCTCAATCTCGTACTGCCTTACATCTGCGCGTTCCAGGAAATCGCGTTTGTCCAAGTAACTGAAATAAACAATTTACTTATAAGAAAATTAGTTATATTAGTTAAATTAATGGTCATTTATATTGTAAGACTTTACAGATCTCTTTAATATTAGTATTTTAAAAGTAGTGCAGTCCTGGTATGTGTTTAGTATATGTCAGAGACAGTTGTAGACTAATACAACTTGCTCAATTATTTAAGTTTTTTGGGACTAGCCACTTAAATGGCTGAAAGTAGGTGATCAATTCTACTAAGTAATATTATAAACCCAAAAACTGCATGGATGGATGTTTGATACTTTTTTTAATAGATAGGAGTGATTGAAGAGAAATTTTTATCTATACTAATATTATAAAGAGGTAAAATTTGTAAGTTTGTTAGTTTGTATGTAGGGGGTAATCTTTGCAACCGCTGGTCGGATTGCCAAAATTCTTTCACTGATTGATAGCTACAATGTTCCTGAGTGCCACAGGCTATAAAACATCACGCTACCATCAAATGGAGCCGAGCAGCGGGTAAAACAGCGCGAGAGTAGCAAGTATCCATTAAAAGTGCAGAAATGTAAGTATCAGCATTGTCCATGTGCAGATCGCCAGTCCAGTGCCCCATAAAAATAAGAAAAAATATCCGAAAAGAAGACAGTTTTTACTAAGTATGAATGTTAAGTTTAACATACCCATTCTTTCCTTTATTATGACTTTCAATCTCTTCTTCAAGGCCTTCTTCCTGTTTGTAGGTAGACCAGTCAAGCTTTGACTTCTCGAGGGTGGACAACGTGTTCTTTTTGTTGAGCTGCCCTAGCACGCTGGATAGGCCTCCACCTCCGAATCTGCTGCGTGCCGGTGCTTCTACTTTACTTCCTGGAATAGAAATTAATAATAACGTTAGCTTTAGAAAATGCAAATGTAGGTAGATACGAGGATAGCTACAAAAAAGCTAAAAATACAGATAGATAGACAGGCAGATAAGGTACGAAAATTGCATTTTACTATCTATATATTTTTTTTAAAAATAATTGAGTTGCTACTTCCAACAACCTTCGGAATTCTTACAAAGATTCAAGTAATTTTGATCTCGTTATAAAGTTATCGTGTCGAACTTTATCAAACCCTTTCGAATCTTCATTACTTGACCCTTGTTAAGACCTTCACCGAAACGGGTCAAAATGATCGCTTGTACTAAAAAAGGTTGTGTCCAATCCAATCTTCGTTTCTCATCCTTTTTCTAGCTAACTTGTATAACTGAAATTTTCTTTGAAATACTGAAGTCGATGCTAAGCTCAGTGCTTTTAAAGTTTTAATGGAAATCGGATGCTTGCGACTTGGCATTGTGCATAAGTTTTCCTCGAAGTGCTTACTTTACGTCGCTACATGCATCGGAGATTGGAAAGCAAACAGAAGCACATGCACAGCAAGCACAACGGTCAGCCGAGATCACAACATTAATTTTGTAAGTAGATACCTGTAAAATCCTACTATCCTACTTACACCCGGTTTCCGAAAGGTCGATCAATGTTAAAATCAATTTAATCTCTTTTCAAGTCATCTTATTGGTTGACTGAATTATCAACAACCAATCAGATGACTTGACAAGAGATTGGACACCTAGTTAGTTGATTTTAACATTAATCGAGCTTTCGGAAACCGGGCATTAATAATATAAATGTGAAAGTTTGTGACCATGTATGGATGTATATTTGTCATTCTTTCACGCAAAAACTGATGGACTGATTTGGTTGAAATATTAAGGTTGGCTTCTTTTATCTTCCATGCGATCTAAGCCGCGGACGGAAGCTAGTTAATGTTATATTGATTTTATTAAGTACCTACCTAACTTTAGTACCAAGCCGACAAAACATAACTATCTATCTACGAACCTGTTGCAGGGCTGTCAGCGGTTTTTATCTTTTCTTTGATCTTGTTATTTTCGACAACTATTGTTTCTCCGGCGAATTCAAATATTCTTTTTTCTCTTGCTTTATCATCATCGCTGGTGCTGGATACAACTTTTTTGGCAGTTTCCTCTTTAGCTACAGTTTTAGGAGTTTCAATGGTCGAGCTGGTTACTGTCGCGGTAGGTTTAGGCTTAGTATCGGTTCCTTCCAAAAACTTAGCCCATAAATCATCTTCTTTCTTTTTCTCCTCCTCAGGATTTAATACTTCTTCGGTTTTCTCTATTTCTCTTACTGGAGATTCTTCTTTTTCTACCGCACCATTCCGTGTTCTACGTTTCTTCGTGCTCGTAGCTTCTTTGCCTCCTTTCCGTTTCTTTGCCTTTTGTTCTAATTCCTTTTCAAACTGCATATCTGTTTCTTCATTCGCTGATTCTTCTTCTGATAATTTTTCAGGTTCTCCTGGCACGTATTCTTCATCACTCTCGCTCCCTGACGACGACATCTGAAACAAAATGGGACAAAACATTAAATTTTATTACTTACCTGATATTAATTTGCTAAATTTGATTTTCATTGGTTTACCTTTTAATTAATTGTGTATCTTTTAATAACAAATTAACAGCTAGTGGCCAACCTGTAATCAAATACCCTAGGTACCTACGCGTTGATGTGATTATGACGAAAAGTGTGTTAATACCTATAATAAAACATATGTTGTGCAACAGTTTGCTAGATTCTTAATAAATTGCCCTCCCTTCCCAATCCTTATATCCGCAACCCCCATCCCCAAAAGGCCGGCAACGCACTCGTAACTCCTTTGGTGTTGCGGGTGTCCATGGGCGGCGCCGATTGCTTACCATCAGGTAATCCGTCTGCTCGTTTGCCGACTTATACCATAAAAAAAAAGCTGGTTCTTGTGTGTATAAAAAAAATGTATCTACTTTGTGGACTGCTAAGTGAGTAAAAATATTTTTTGAAGTAGGATCTCTCTCTAGCTTTTCTATGAGCCTATAGGAAGTGGATGACACTAACGTATGTGTAGTGTGTGTTAGTAACTATTGATATTTCTAAATTACAGATTATATAGAAATATTAGGTAGGTATGTTAAGTGCCCTTGAGGATTACAAATTAAATAATATTGATGTTTGAACACAACATTACACCTTTTTAATACTATAAGTTTATTTAATTTATTTAACTTCAGAATATGTAGGTGATAATGTTTTACTGTGTAATGGAGTCCCAGGTAGGATAAAGTAATAATCAAATTCATACAAATAAAAAATACATTTTAGGAGATACAAAAAGCAACAAAATTGGTTGCGGTATTTTAAGTTATTAATTTGGAAGTGAATAAAACAGACAGTTGCGATAAATAATGTTGGAATACATTTAATTAGTTCAGACACGAGGTTTCTTTGCTCTATTTCTGTTCTTAACATTAGATACTTCATAGAAGTTGCTTCCTGTTTTAGTTCGTTTCTGGGCCCTCTCCAAAGCTCTCCTGGCCTTAGCAGTCATTTTCTTAACTCTACCGTCTTTAACTCCTGCCTTATTTTTCTTTCCACTTGGTATTTCCTCTACTGTGAACTGACCACTAGCAGCTTCAAGTTTCTTACGTTTCATCTCCTTCACAGTCTCTGGATCATTAGTTAAGTGATCTTCCAAATCACTACAATTATTCTCATCTTCACTATAAAAGTCACTAATGTCTGATGAATCAGGGTCCTCATTGTCAATCTTTTCATTGCCTTCAATGACACTTTTAGATTCATCATTCTCTGCATTGTCATCATCAATTCCTTGAAGTTCTTCAGGTATATCAAACTTTTCTAGTGGCTTCACATCATCATCATTATCAAATTGTAGTCCAACTCTGATCTTTGCAAAATCTTGTGCAACAATTAATTTATTGATATAAATTGGTTTATCAGCAGTGTCTTCATTTTCTTTTTCTGCATCCTGTTTTTCCTCTTCAACAGCATCTGTTTTCTTTTCTTCAGTGTTTGCTGTAACTTCTTCTGTTTTTTCATTATTTTCTTGTTTTGATAGTGGAACTTCAAAACCTTCTGGAGCCACATAGAATGGTAGTTTTCCTCTTTGCCAATCATTTAGAACCATTCTTGCTACCTGACTGACATCAGGTTCACCTTTTTTCAATAACTTCCCAGTACGAGCAGCAAGCTTCTCTAAGAATTCAGTTGCAGTATCCCATGCATCTACTTTGTATGTTTTCACTAAATACTCTTTCCTGACTCTCTTGATAACCTCCTCTATGTAATCTTCTGGATTTTGTACTAATTCAACTCTTACAACTCCTTTCAGTACTTTCTCAGTGTCTGTTTCAGCTGAAGGATAGACAACACCAGGACAATCAATCAAAAATATTCTCCTCATTAATGTGATGTACTGCCATACTTTAGTCTCACCAGCTATAGGTGCAACTTTGCACACTTTCTTAGCTCTGAGTGTATTAATAACCGATGACTTCCCCACATTAGGATATCCAATCAAACCAACACTAATTTGTTTCTTGTCAATATGTAATTTAGCGAATTGCCTCAATAAGTTTATAAGAGAGCCTTTCCCAAAGGGATGTGTCATCGATGCATGGAAAGCTATAGTAGGGTATTCGGCACTGAGGATAGCCACCCAACGCTGTGTCACCCAGTTTGGTACTAAGTCTACTTTGTTCAAAATAAATATAAGATGTTTGTGTTTTTTTTCTTCCCTTAGGAACTTCTCAACATAAGGACACCGAGTGCCCATAGGGTCTCTGGCATCCAGGACTTGTAATAGAACATCAGAAGAATCTATTACTTTATACAATTCATTCCAAATTCTTTTACTCATTCCAGCTCCAAACACCCAATCTCTTTGTCCTTCTTTAACTCCTGTGTCTTCACGAACTCTGTCAATATCTTTTGTTTCATCATAATTCTCTGTGCTTTCTTCTACAGCCTTTGATAAACTATTTAGATCACTAAATTTCAAATTAACTCTCTTTCTTTGTTTCTTTGGACCAAATGTTTTGTCGAATCCTTCCGTGTCCAACAAATGTACTCTTGTATTTTTTGCTTTTTCATTGAGCAATGTTATTGGAAGGTTTGTGGGTTTCATAATAACTTGATATGGGTTCTTGACAGCAGCTCCAAATTCATCTTGAAACTTTTGTAATGCGCTCTGTGATATCACTCGTGAGTTGCCAAACCACTTCTGGCTAGGTTCCACACGAGCTTGAGTACCTGATGGTAACCAACCTTGGAATGGAGCTGGGGTCAAAATTTTACCAGTTTTATCTCTCTTCGCCTTAAAGTTTCTGTACATCTGAAGCCGTTTGATGGTTGCTTTTGTCCTAGGCTTGGCAACTCCTTTCAAGCCTTCAGTCGGTCTATCTGGGTTCATTGAATGTGCACCTTTATTGAACCCTTGTTTCCGGGGTGCACCCGGTGCTGAACGTACCTTCCCCATTTTGTCGCGTTATCAACACTTAAAATATAATTACAATTCAATAAAATAACCACAACTCACGCGGTCTACGCAGAAAAATAAAGGTTATCATCAACGTTCGCGGATTGGTAAGCTAATGTCAAACGATAAGCGCCAACTTCATGACAGTGGAAAGTAAAGGAAAGATCTCCATGTATACTTACAGTTCTCAAGAATTTATCACTTCCTAGCTATATAGTTATATCCGGAATGTTTAAGAATTTTCTTTTTAATATAGTCAATAACACAACAAATAGGCGCAACTTCCAATACTATTTAATTGGAAACTTCAAATTGTCCGGTTCTCCGGTGGGATAAGCTTATTGTTCAATCGTTACTAACTTCATTATACATAGACCATTGAGATAGTATGTCAATGACATAGACACTCATTAATCAGAAATTACTTTTTGTTGAAAATGGTAAATGGCAACATTAAAAAATAAAAAGGTAAGTGGTCAGTTTATTTATTTTACAACCTTTTTGAAGAAAATTTATCCTTATTACCATTAATGTGAAAGGAAATGTACCATTATGAATGATTATAATTATAAAGTAAAGGCATACCTACGAAAACAGCGTGCATAGCCATTGTCAACTGGGAAAGGAAAAATATCTATAACCATACCAGAGTATCCTACAATACTTGCCGAATATTGTTTATTTTAGAGATAAAAAACAAAACAAAGTAATAGAAAAATATTTAATTTAAATATTTATTAATTTAAGTGTTTAAAAAACTGAACTTTACTTCCGTAATGTCACATAATATGTACCTTTGGATAATCAACAGATATTGAAAAAAAAAACCATTTACTGTAAAACGAATTGTTATTTTTGAATGGTATGATTGCCATTGCTTCAGTCATTGGAAACAGTAACGCAGAAAAACGACAAAGAAAAAAGAAAGTGTGAAACTGTTTAAAGCTCAAGGGGAAAACTCCGTGCCGAATTGGTGAAAATAGAAAAATACGTGATAAACGCCGTATGAATATGTGATGCATGATGTGTAAATCTTTTAAAAAAATAAGAAAATATGGACAAAATATAATTATTTAACATTTTATAGAACTTGCCCAGAAGTCCAGGCTCCGGGTTTGCCAAAGGGCAATGGAACGTAGCCTGTTGGGCATAAAACGGACCGATCGCATACGGAATACAGTGATACGTTCCAAAACAGGAGTCGCTGATGTGGGCCAAAAGGCGGCAAAATTAAAATGGGACTGGGCCGGACACGTCAGCCGAATGCATCCAGAGAGGTGGGCCACTATTGTCACCCAGTGGACACCTCAGGATGGAAGCCGCAGGCGGGGTAGGCCCCGGAAAAGATGGCGTGACGATCTAGACGCCTATCGTCGAGACTGGTGGACACGGTCTGAGGATCGGGAGGTGTGGAAGCGAGATGGGGAGGCCTTTGCCCAGCAGTGGGACAATATAGGCGAGTAAAAAAAATAAAAAAAATAGAACTTGCCCTAACAATTGTTAAAAATACGCCATCTAGTGGGTAATTTAACATAATGGGCCCGTATCATTGACTCATACGTTCAAGATTGACATTTGGTTGTCAAGGAAAAACTGTCAAACAAAACAAAATGTCAGCTCCGAACCAGTCGATCAGCCGTATTTTTTATCAAATAAACATTAGTAACTTATCCTAGAATTGATAAGATCCATATTTTAATATGATTTATAACGGCGTAGGGTCCTAATTAAAATATCATGTAAGTGGGTGTGAGTGTTTAGATTAACGAACCGTTCCAAAGAAGTACTTTGTATCGTAAGATTTTTTTTTGAAAAATAAAACTGCCCCGATGCCTGTAAGCTTTAATAACGGAAAGACAACATGTATGACATGTTGTCAGAGTTTCGAGTGTCGGAATTTGATTCATTCGTGGATATATTGAGATTGACTCCTGGTGATCCTTTGAATACATTTGGTGAAATGTGGTACCCCGTGTTTCTGTGGTCTTTGTTCTCGTCAGTGTTTGTGCATACGTGTGCGGCACTAGTTGCGTTTGGAACTTTAAGAAAGCATAAGTATGGGAAGTTCTTCCCAGTGTTGTTAATAGTGATGGGTGTCGTGACTCCAGTGACTTCGGGTGTCGCGACCAGTGCTGCCATCGCGTTCATATACCGAGCCGCTACGTTGACTATGCCTCCTATACATGCCATGATCTGGGGAATCGGCCAAACTGTGCTTGGAGCTGGAATGGGTTTCACAAGGATTTTGGCTACTTTGTAATAATGATAACTAGATTTATTTAGCTAATTACATCACAATATATTTATGAACTATATAATTTATTATAAATTCAATAAATTCTGAGTCAATTAACATAGAATATAGAATGGGAATGTAGTGAAAGGGAAGGTGCTGAAGGTTAATGCATTAATTTCCTTGAATAGTGGATGACTTGACTGTCGGTCAAGGTTCACCCAATAGTAAATACTCATTAGCTATCTGATGTAAATATGTAATCATTGATATATTATGTAGCGGCATATAATACACAATGTGCTTAATTTTTGTATGAACTATCATGTCTTGCATATTTGTATAAATTATAGTAAAGAAACCTAGGGAGTTCATTATGAATATGACTATGCAATAAAAAAATAAATTGTTTTAGAATGTAAATATGTGCCTACCTATAAAATATAATGACTGATGTTTCACAAAGAATACATATTTCTAGTATTAGTTTTTCTACTTAAAATCATATAGAGACAAAGGTATTGTTCAATGAATCCTAAATTTCATTATTGTTTAATTTTCTTGATTGTATTGTGATAAGTTGTATACCTGAGCCCGTGTAATCATTTTTACCATAAATTATGCATTCCATGTTAAAATTGTATGAAAAAAATAATATTTAGCATTGACATTGTCATTAATTGTAAAGTTTAAATTATTGTTTGACTATTTTCGCTCATTCTTGATACATGAGACTTCATCAGGCCCACCGACATTTCTCAGGACATATTCCCAGCATTAGTCTGAGGGTAGCTTAATCATGTGAACAAACATGTCTTATTAGAAAGCTGTTGATTTTAATTATCACACTCATATCTGGTTTTGTACTTATATTTTTGTACATAATAGTTCCCTAATTATTGTCAGTATCATTTTTCTATAAGTACAATCTGGATTAAGTTTCAAATTATGATTAAATTGATTAGAATTTTTCCTAGGGCCACAAAGACCTTTATTTATTTGACAATGTACAATGTTTACTGTTCACAAGTAAAGAAATGATATTTTAATTTATTTATAGAATTAATTAATTTGTAATCAATTGGATGAAGATTTAAATTATATTTTCTTTATTGACATTATTTATTATTACCCGTTACAATTTTATGTTCATACTCTTCTAATGTTAAATGGAGCATGGTGATACTTTTAATATTTATTTTTATGTGGTTTTGGGGTTTATTGAAGTGGTGTATGGTATAGTGAATTACACTTATTATTAAGATATAGCTGCAGAATAATGAGTTATGTTTATCTTAAAGCCGCTGTTAGATGAAATGTTACAATCAGTATGTTTAAATCATGAAGTTTCTTTGTATTATATTATAACTGTATAACAGTTTCTCAGAAATACAAGTGAGCCTTTGCATAGAACCAAACAATTTAAGATTCTAATAGAAACCCATAAAGTTCAGTTTAAACTGTCAAAACCACAATATTGTTATCACCATGTGAAATGGATGTTTTAAATATTTGAAATATTATTTTTTCACAATTTTGTACTTATTATGTACAATAGTAAAATATCATGTTTGTAGAAGCAAAACTATAAAAAATGCAAAGCTAGTGTGATCATGTTGTAAATAGATATATTATTATGTAGAGGAACATTGAAAAAAGGAAATCATTTTCCATATTTCAACATTATCCAAAGGAAATAAATGGTTTGGATATTATCAAGCAATTTCATTACTTAAACCTTTACGTCAAAAACATGTACTGTGTAATTACCATTACTGTTGTCATGCAAAATTGTTTTCAGTACCCACATAATTTTTTTAAGGATAGGAATGCTTTCAAATTGCTTCTCTCGTCCAGTCGGCCTCAGCATGAGTCCGCGTTACCTCATCGCTCTTGTCCTATTACCTCGGCACATTAATGTCATTTGAAGCATTTTTTTTGAATGGTACAAAAATAAAACTTTTTTAACATACAAAATCAATATATTAAAGCTTTCTATTTACAGTACAACCTTTTTCCAACACAACATAGAGTCAAGTCAAAAATACATTCATTTTACAATGAAATTATTCTAGAAATGTGATCTAGAACCCAAGATTGTCATAATACAATATTTTAAATAAATAATGTAACAATTTCATTCTACAGATAAACAATATATATGTAGATAGTATACCTCTTACCCTGTATTTGAAAATTATAGAATTTAACTATCATACTTATAAAGTGCTGCTACTATGAGAATATTTTGCAAAAGATTTACGTGTTCTATATCTTGTGCTTTCTTCATCATCCTCGTGGCTTTCTTCATGAATCTCATCCAGCATAAGAGGTAAGTCATATTCATGATTCTTCACCCTGGAAGTTGAGGGCTAAAAAAAAATTACAAAAAAAAAACTAAAAAAGTTTTCTTAATTGGCAACCCTGTAACAATTATTAGAGCTTAATTTTGAAAATGTATAATCATTAGCCGGAAAACGTCCACTAAGGTCTCTCCCTTAAGCCTTCCACTTCGAACAACAAATTGCCACCTGCATCTATTTACCCGCGACTGACGATGTCGTCGGTCCACCTAGCGGGAGGTCTGCCCACAATACGTTTTCCGGTCCTTGGTCGCCACTTTAGCCTGCAGATTTTACGAGCTATGTCGGTGACTTTGGTTCTTTGGCGAATTTCGGAAATTCGCCAAATACATTTTCTATGTCTATGAAATGTGGAAATTGAATTTTCACATTTCGGATTTTGTCGCGCAGAGCCCGTTCCATCGCGCGCTGAGCGACGCTAACTTTGCCAAAGAAAGAAAGAAAATGTATACCAATATTATAAAGCAGTAGAGTTTGTTTGTTTGTTTGGACGCGATAATCTCCAAAACGACCGGTTCGAATGGAACATTATTTTTGTGTTTGTTAGTTCATTTATCGAAGAAGGCAATAGGCAAGAAGTAGTAGGATGCTAGTATTGTCGAAACCGCGATGAGAACCCAGTGCTAAATAATAAAAAAAAAAATACAGTGAAAAAGATAATTATGGTTACCTCACGAGGTTCATCATCTCTTCTGCTTAATCTGTTGACACTTTCTTGCAATAATTTAGTTTCCGAAGTTGCATCTTGTAATGCTAATTTTAATTCTACAATCTCTTTTCTTGCATTTGATAACAACTTTTCTGTAGTCTCTAAGTTCTGTTTCATTTCTTCATTCTCTACTTCTAGTTTCGTCTTTTTATTTGAAAGGCTTTTAATCCTTGTCTCATACAGTTTCATTTCAGAATCAGTTTCATTTATTCCTCTGAGAGTATTGCAATTTTCTGACTGTAAGTTACTGCACATTTGCTTCAAGTATGACACATTTTGTTCCAGAATATTCTTTTCTTCTGAAATAAGTTTTACTTCATTCTCCAAAGAATTTATTTTGCATTGCATAGCAGCTATTCTTGAGGCTTGAGCCTCTACCATATTTTCCTTGTCCATCAATTTAGCTTCTAAGGTTTGAATCCTGCTTGTAGAAGTCTGTAGCTGTACTGTTTTAGAAGCTGATTCACTCTCCAGAGAGTGATTTGTGTTCTCCAAAATGTTAGCTTCTACAGAGAGACTGGCAAAATGTTCTAACATGTCAGCTCTCTCTGCCTCTTTTTGAGATAATAGTTCTTCAATGCGTCTGATTTCAGCAACATAATGTTGCAGCTGTTGTTTTAAAGTATCTACTTCTTTACGAGATTTTTCATATTCTATTTTTGTTAACTTTAATGTACCATTGGCATCAGCCAAACTATTTTGCAGATGTTTATTTTCCATAATAGCAGTATCAAGTTGTTTAGTAAGCCGTTGTATTTCACCATTTAAGAAAGTAATTTGTGTTTCATGATCTGCTAGCTTATGCTCAGATACTTTATTAACAGTTAACTTTCTCTTCAATTCTGAAACTTCATTTTCTAATTTTTCTATCTCATACTTCTGTGATTTTATCTTTTGTTCAAGCATACATGTGTTTTCTGTCTTATGATCCAGCTCTATTACAAGTTTATCACGTTCTTGGTCAACTTTTTTAATGTTATCTATGAGATTCGACTTGTCATTTCTCAAAGATGAGATTTCAGATTGTAGTTCTTTGCACTTTCTTTCCAATGATTCTATTGTGTCATTGGATAAGCTAAGTTTCTTCTGTACATTCAATAATTCATTTTGTAATTCATTGCCACTCCTTTCAGTTTCTAACTGGATATTTTTAATTTGACTTGAAAGGGTTTTTTCCTTGATAACATCTGATTGCATTTTCTTTAGCTGCTCTCTCAAAAAGTTGCATTCTTCTTTTAAATGTTCAGTGGAAGCCATTCCATTTCTACTTGTCATTTTGTATGAACAGTTTTCTGCTTCTAAATGCTCAATTTCTTTCTGTTTAAATACCAAATCCATTTTTAATTTTTCAGATAACTCTAGTGCTTCTTTATATCTTAAATTATATTCTTGTTTATCTTTTTTCAACAATTGTATTTGATTAAGTAATTCATTTACTTGATCCTTCAGCTTTTGGGCATCATTTTTATAGAAATCACCTCTGTCACTGTGTTTGACTGTGCTCAAATTTTTATATTGACTTAGCTGCTTACTTAATTCAATGTTTTCTTTTGATAGCTCAGCATTTTCTACATTTAGCTGGCTAATAACATCTTTATAGTTCTGCTTACTGTTCTCTTCAAGATAACTTGTTTTTCTTTTCAATTCATCATTTTGTTTCATTAACATCAAAATCTTTTGTTCTCCTTCACACAATTTATTGTGCAAGTCTCTTATAAATGCATTGTCATTGGAATGACTTACTTTAGGACTTTCCTTATCTTTGCATTTGGACATGTGTTGATTGAAGGTGTTCATAAGTTCATTCATTTTTTCTTGAAAACTTGTCATGTGAAGCTCATATTTATTTCTTTCTTCTCTTAGGAGCTTTTGTAAATCAGTTTTTGTGAGACAGTCCATTTTATCTTTATTATATCCATATTCATCACTATGATCTGGTTTGCTCACTTGGGGTAGTGTGAAAATCTTTTCTTGCAAATTTTTGTTTAGATCTACCAAATCCCTGACTTCATTGTGTAAGGCATCATTTTCTTTTAAAGCTGTAGTCAACTCTCCCTGCAATTTAATTATCCTAGGTGTATTGTCTTTTGCACTTAATTGCTGTTCCTGAAGTTTTCTTTCTAATCCTGAATTTTTCAATTCCAAACCTTCCACTCTCTTTTGTAAAAAATCTACTTCTTTTGTCATTGAAGCCAGTCTTTTATTGCAATCCTCTTCAACTTTTAATGCCAGTGTGTCAACCTTATGTAATTCTTCTTGTAAACTTTTATTCTTGTCTGCCAGACTGAGTGCTCTGAGCATGGCTTCATGCTGTTTCTCTAACCCACTATCAACCTCTTTTTTCAGGAGCTCATTGGCTGATTCTAGTTCCCTTAGATCTTTAAGTAAATTCTGGACTCTTTCACTGGAGCTTAGGTTGCAGCAATCTTTACTAATAGCTGTAAGAGGTCTACCACCTTCTAAGAGCATATTGAGGCGTATAATTTCTTCATCCCTATGTTCAACTTGATTTTTGAGAACCAATATTTCATCACAGTACACATCATTCTTTTCTTCAAGGGCATGAATCTTATTGGTTAGTTCTGTTACATCTTTGTCACTGTATGCACTCTTTCTCTCATTACATATACATGCTTTGCTTAAGCTGGTGCTCTCCCCATCCTTCCTTTTGCTTTTGTTTCGACTACTGAAAGTGTCTGTACACAAACCTCTAAGACTGAGGTCTCGTATGTCATGCTGCAGTTTACTGATAGTTGCATCCTTTTTCATAAGCTCTTCAGTTAAGCTTTTAATTTTTCTTTTTGATTCTTTAGCAAGTTTTAGATTATCCTCAGTCAGCTTCATCACTTTTTTATGTAGTTGATTGTTTTCCTGTATAAGTTTAGCGTTATCGCATTTGTAGGGCTCTGCTTCCATCATCAAAGAATCTCGCTGCATAAGAGCTTCTTTCGACAAATCCATGTAATGTTGCAAGCTGCGTGTAGTTTGTAAAAGGTCTGCTAGTATACATTCTACTAAGGGAACTGCATCTATTGGTAACGTGATGTTATAACCGAGATCTTCCAGTTTACGCTTCAAAGTAAAATAAGCTTCACCCATTTTGCAAGTTTTACAGAACACACACAAAAATATTTACCAATTACTATTTATCAATGTCGTTCTGAATTTCGAGAAGTAATGACATGTTAGAATTGTAAAAATGAAATTGTGTGCATGTTCTGTTTTAAATTATTTTTACAATATTACATTCCAAAGAACTAACGACATTTCAAGTTTTGTTTGTATTCAGATTCATTTGATTGACAGGTCTAACAATGCTAGGTACCAATTAATAGACAATATTTTAGAGTGGGAATATAAAATATAAAACAAAATAAAGAGCTTTCAGACATGGGATTTTCACCAGTTTTATTGTAAATTTTACAGTCATTAGTCGGTTTAATTCGTTTCGATTATTTAGTTTATCAAAGCTTAGAACTGAACTGAGCATTTAATAGTAATTTTTCATAAATTAATTGAAATATTACAAAAACCATAAATAACACCAAATCTCATACAAATATTCCACACACATGCAATGACGGCACATCTCTACTTAAGTTAGAAGAAAAAATAAAAAGTGACGTTTAACTTGAATGACATCTTTGTTCGTATTGTTATTTCATATTTGTCAAGTTCAGTTTTTGTGGAATACATTTTCCTATTCCTTATGAAAAAAAACATTGAATGAATCGTGAAAAAAGTGATGGTGTAATTAAGACAATAATTACATTTTTAAATTACATGTGACATGTAAACAATTGTGTAACAATATGAATCCGTATAAGGATATAGAAGAAAGTTCGTTCGCAGCATCACCTCACTTAGCTTATGAGGACATTGCTACGAAACTGCTTAAGGACCACTACTTCCTGACAGCCTTGGAGCTTCATACAGAGTTAGTGGAGAGCGGCAAAGAATTGCCACAACTCAGAGAATTCTTCTCAAATCCAGGCAACTTTGAACAACATGTTTCTAGGGCATCGGACTTTTCTTCAATGCGTTAGTTTTTTATTTATTATTGTAGGCAATATAAATAATAATTGAAAAAATTAAAAACTCAATATTACAAAGTAACATTTATTGAATCATGAGCGTTATTGACAATCTAAGATTGCTGTTTTGATTTTTATTATTTAAATATCTTACTAAAAAGATAAAATACATAATATTTAAATTTCGATTAATATTAATAGACCGAACACCAAGTCAGGCAACACTAGACTCGTTGGATACTGCAAGGTACTCAGAAGATGGTGGTGGTGACCGTGGTGGCAGTGGAGGTGATGTTGCAGTACTGGAATTTGAGCTGAGGAAAGCAAGAGAGACCATCAATGCTCTTAGAGCTAATCTAACTCAATTTGCTGGTATGTATTTCAACTTAAAATTAATCCAAATAGTCTTACCTACTATAATTTGTATTTTACTTAATTACTTTACACCCTAAAAATAATTGATGTTAAAAAAAGGAAAGGAACTACACCATCATTATTCAGGTCTTAGTTTATAGACAAATGTTTGTATGTATAAACAATGAAACAATGAAACAACAAGTTATATGTATAAGTTAAGTTATATGTATAATTTAATCTTTGGGATGTATTGTTTTGGAACAAAAATTCAACATTCATTAAGAATTATTCTATTTCAGAAAAAATGTAGTGATGTAGGTATGAAAATAACTTACTAAATACAAAAAAAATGAGTTACAAGCACATACATAAATTACAAGCCTACTATTTAAAAATTACAGGCTAACACAATTACAGAATAATATCCTAAATTATTATTTCAGATGGAGAATCTACCTTGGACAAAAGTTCCAGAGATTTGTCTGATCAGAGATCCTTGAAGCCACATGAAAAGAGAGCTTTAAACTTCCTTATAAATGAATATCTTCTCTTACAAGATTATAAACTAACTTCCATAACATTTTCTGATGAAAATCCAGAACAGGTGAGAGTGAAAATGACTGTGTAATTTCTTATATATAGTTATATAAAGTCAAAGTCAAAGTCAAAGCAATTATTTTAAGAAATTCAGCCATTTTGTGTGTATTTATTATCTGTATGTTTAAATAGAAATAACTCTTGTTGCTTATTTAAATTAAAACAAAAAACATATTAATTATAAATAAGCTTTTATCACACAGGTGAATATTCAGATTTTATTAAACCTGACAGTTTCATATTTATGGTCATATAAACTAAACATAAATACCAAATAACAGCTCAATCGGTTGAAGGATATATTCAAAATGTTGTTGCAAGTTTCCACTTCACAAACATATTTATATAGAAACATAAATTGCAAGTTGAAAGCTTGTAATAATAGAATAGTCTGTTTGTTTGTTTATCTGGGTTTTACATTCATTCCCAGAGCTGTAGAGAGAAATCTCAGAATGTCATATAGCATCATGCTCAACATCCATCAAACAATATTAAACAGACTCTCTGTTCCTATATCTCCAGTATGCTTAAAAAAAATATGTCACAAAGTTTTAAAGATAGAATGATTGAAGGGCAGTTTTTTGGTTTATATGTATATTAACATCTATTTAATATTGGAGAAATTTAGTAACAAAATTGCACCTGTACAAAGCTAGGTTGGGTCCCTAGTTTACATTAGTTTCTTTGAAACTTATTAATTATTAATCAAAGAAAAACTTAAAAAGAGTGTCAGTAACAAGATGAGAGGAAATATCTGTTTTAGCTCACAAGGAGATTGAAGAAACAATCAATCATAATGACTTTCACTTTTTTTGTTTACACAGATGTGCCTACCACATTAACTTATGCCATGGCTAATTAAATATCTTTATGATTGTAAAGAACCTGTAATTTTGTTGTTTATTACTGAATGCATGTCATGCAAAGATTTCAGTTTGTAATATATTTATCTTGACACTAATGTATTAAATACTAGAAAAAAGCAAAACATTATATTATTAAAAAAAACATGTTTTATCAATTGTATTGAGGTCTATCTTATAATCACTCATTGGTTGGTTAGAACTGAATTAATATTTCATCTATTATTAAATATGTGCTGCATCCAATAATTGATAATAAATCATAATCAACTAGTATAATTAGGTACAATATTGCATGGCTGGAAATAATTCGTACAAGAGCCATTTAAGTAAGTATCTAACAAGTATTTTGTAAGCAGGATATGCTCAAGGAAAGAATGCATGCATTATAGATCTGGCCATACATCTGTAACATTATGCTTATATAATAATAGCACATACTCGTATATCTCTGCATTTTAATGAAATGTGTCATCTTTTTTATAATGCTACTCACTGTCGCATGGTTTTACCCGCTGCTCGATTCGTATTGGTCATAACGTGATGTTTTATATCCTATATAGCGTTCCTAGATCAATGGAATATTCAACACAAAAAGAATTGTTCAATTCAAACCAGTGGTTTCCGTGATAAACGCGTTCAAGCAAACAAATGAACTCTTAATTTTTATAACCTTAGCATACATCAGTCACCTTTTAAATGCATAGGGAAGACAGAGATATATCTTATCTCAAGTAATATTTACTGCAATACATATCAATTTGAGATGTAAGATTTATTTGAATTGTAAGCGAATGTATTGTTGGTGTGGTTATCTATTTTTTTATAAATATGATTCCTAATTTTCCCTTATTGCATAACGCGTGAAAGGCTTTTATTGTTTTTATTGCTTATGGGAAAAGCGGGAATTAGCTACCCTTTCGATGTAGTGGCGTTTCGCTAACAAAACGAATAAAGGATGACATTGAGGTAGTTGAGACACCCGAGCGAAGCAGAGTAACTAGTTATAATTTCGTTTATACACAATCAGCAGGCGCAACTTCAGAAAAGTTTTTATTACACTTTACGTGACCCGGGAATTAACTCCGAAACAGATTGCCCGGCAATCTTACTTGTAACCCATTGCTAATAGTACTTAATGCACGTATTGTTCAGAGCATTCAGGCTTATTTTTATAGATAAACTAGCGGACCGCCCCTGCTTCGCACGGGTAGGTATCCGACTACCCCGTCAGTCATTTGTTTTTTTAGCAAACGGCCACAGCATCTAGAGGATTGTTAATTCCCGATATTCCCCTTTACTTTTCTAAAGTTTTCTTTTGTAAGAACCTTCACATAAAAATAAGGAACGTAACAAAAAAGAAATCGGAAAAATTGGACCAGTCGTTATTGAGTTATGCGCTAACCAACATTTTGCGATCCATTTTTATATATAAAGAAGATATATGCATTACAATAGGTATGTCGTATTGAAGAATTGTAAGCAAGGCGCGTGACGCAATCAACAAGGAAAACCGCAAAGTGTTTTGCTTTTTAACCGACTTCAAAAAAAGGAGGAGGTTCTCAATTCGATTGTATTTTTTTTTTTTTTTTTTTATTTTTTTTTTTATGTTTGTTACCTCAGAACTCCGTCGTTTATGGACGGATTTGCAAATTTTTTTTTATGATTGAAAGGATACGCTTCCAGATTGGTCCCATTCTTTTCAAAATTGAGTTTTGATGATGGGATCCATGAGAAATCGAGGGAACTCCTCAAATATTATAGGCAACTATATAGTAATTTTAATATTTTCATAGAGCACTCAAGCATTTACAGTCAAAAAGTAATATTTGATGGGGTGGAACTGGTGAAGAAGATCAGAAATGGGTGATGAAACTTGACACTCGCATAGATATCACAATCAAGGTAGTTCAGCAACTATGAAAATGCACTGTAAACCAATGATCTTAAATAATTATGTTGGAAATGTTATCATCGAACTGATTTAATGATGATTATGGAGCTGGAAGGTAGGCACTGGAACTGCGTACCTAATTAATATGTCCTAGCCGTGTTTGGGCTTGTTAGAATTGTTATAAGATGCACTTTGGCTGTAAGGTACTATTGAACTGATGTGATGATGAAGCTGGAAGGTTGGCATGGGGCCTAGTATTGTGTAAGCTTATTAGAGCTGTCAAGAGCAATGGAAAGGGCTATGCTCATAGTTTCCGTGCATGTTCGAATCAGAAATGAAGAAATCCGCAGAAGAACCAGCGTCACCGACATAGCCCGAAGAAATGCCAAACTTAAGTGACAGTGGGCACGGCACATTGCTCGTAGAACAGATGGCCGATGGGGCCGAAAGGTTCTAGAGCGGGACCGCACACCTTTGGGGGCGGAGTTTGACCTAGTATTGGCTATTTTGCATTAGTCCACGTGGACTGCGTTTACACATTAGTGGTGAAATGCGTCATTGTGTTCTTATCGTTTTCCTGGTAATAGGCTAAGAGAATTCATTGGCATTTTTAACAAAACAGTCGTTTTAAATGGGTTACAAAACAATAATTGCGTCGTACAAAACAATAATTGTGTTTCTTTTGTGTGCACATATGTAGATAATACGTACTTAAAAAAGGTTCATACATTGAATGACTCATAAATGTATATTTACAATAGCGATGGTCTTTTGTATTTTTACCAACTTGTCTATATATGAATGTTCTTAGTAATAACAAAATAGTATTCTTCATCAAAAAGACCGATGCAATTATTGTTTTGTATCAATTGTAACCCATTAAGGTTACAATTGATACAAAACAATAATTGCATCGGTCTTTTTTCTATGTACGAATGTATTTAATCATAGATACTAAATTAGATTGCATTTGGTATCTTTGAACTTTATCTGTCTGTTGATGAAAATATCTAGTTTTTTGTTATTTGGCGAGAACTAATATGAATTTATGATAAGATTATTATTTTTTTTTAACTATAAGTCATAAGTATCTCATGCATCATATCATCTCTCCTCGAGATCAAAACGATTACACAGTAACAATGTACTATGATATGTATTTCTACGTATAAGTATGACATTGGTAACTTTTTCAAAAGAAATGTAGGAACGATATTGACTTCTTTGCCATAACACATTATAATAAAAAAAAACACTAAACGGCTACAAATAAAAAAAAAATTACAAAATAAAAAAACCGCCTTCAAAAAAAGTCAAGCAATAAAAGTTCCTACACTAAAAAGTAAAAAATAACAATTTGAATTACTGTAAAAAAACTTAGTTTATAGGTAAACTTATTTGACATTAATATTTTGCAAATATTCAAAATTTATTACTTATTTTTGGAGTCGGTGCCAGCCCATGCAAGGAAATACAAATGGGCAACAATCCCTTGAAAAACTACCTCTTACTTAATTATAAAACTACTTAATACCTATTTGCATACTCAAATATAGGTATATTAATTAAGACATAAATACAGATTAGACTTATCTACAAAAAATGTCCGATTTGCACATTTTTTTTAAATAAAAAATATATACTTACAAAAACATTTTAAGTACATTGAAAATGTTTAAGCATTATGTACGAAAAATGGCACCGGATATTAAAAAGCTAACTAACATTAAGTTTCAACATTAAAATGCTGGCACCGACTCCAAAAATAAGTAATAAATTTTGAATATTTGCAAAATATTAATGTCAAATAAGTTTACCTATAAACTAAGTTTTTTTACAGTAATTCAAATTGTTATTTTTTACTTTTTAGTGTAGGAACTTTTATTGCTTGACTTTTTTTGAAGGCGGTTTTTTTATTTTGTAAATTTTTTTTCTTTTGTAAATCTCTGATACTGTCATGTTTGTTGAATGTATTGTGTTGTGTAGGTAAATATCACGTCTTTTTTTTCTAAAAAGGATGGACAGGTACTTACACCTTCTTTTAGCTAGTTATATTGTTACGCACATGGTAATACGTTTATACTGGACACATTTTAAAACTGCGTGTCCTAATCATTATCATCAGTAATTATTATTTATTCTGATAATATTATTAGTGCGAAAGTTCGAAAGGATGTGTTTTACTCTTTGACATCAAAATTACTAAACGGATCTAAATGAAATTTGACACAGACATTCGATAATATATTATTGTTTGAAATAAACATACATATGCTATAAACTACGCTGGTAGGTATCTACTGCAGACCAAACTAACGCGTTTATAATCTTTGTAACATGTAGATCACTAGTCACTATAATATTTCAACTTAAACATTTCATATTATTACCCATTATATAAAAATCTTAATTAAAATTCCAGGAGTTCGAAGACTGGGATGATGTTGGTCTCAACATGCCTCGGCCAGCGGGTCTGGTTTCATTATTTCGAGGGAACGGTACCAGTGTTACAACGCCCAAAGAAGATGCGTCTACGGAAACCAGCTGGGAAACTGTGGAGACGGCTTGTCAAACTGATATGGATGAAACTAATTTATGTGTGAGCTGCCAAACTCCACTAGATCACGAGACTGATTGGAGTCATGAGGTAATACTTATCTTGATTACATTCATTTATATGACATTAATATTTTGGTATATTTCAATTAAAAAAGGCCTCCTTAACACTCGGATTGTGTCCTGTGTCGTGGTCCGTTTGCACAGACATTTTGCAAAAAAAATATTCGCTTCATTTGTGCTTTAAAATTATACGAAGGGTGGATTCAAATAATTATTATTACTTATAAGGAATACATCATAATATGTTTGTTCCACAGCTCCTTATCCAAGCTGAAGAGATAGAATTACTAAAACAAAAAATAATAGCATTAGAGACTGAAAAATTGAACTTCCAAAAACTATATGATGCTGCCATTGTCAGTTTGAATTCCCTGACGAGCCCAGCGTCTGAGAGCAAGGGAATCGACCTTCATATACCGGAGGACAAATTGTTATCTGTGCAAAGAGTGGAACAGGGTTTAGAAGCCAAACCCATTACTTGCACGGCTTCGGAGAACCACTATGGAAGCAGTAACTCTACACACAGTGCAACGCCAGAACAATTTGAAATGATCGATAGTGAAAAGAATAGTGCAATGTAAGTACGAATTACTCAAACATACGCTTCGAATTACATTATTATACTGTCTCAGCGAGTATTCTTATGTTGTAGCCTAAACATTTTATTTATTTCTTTTTCATACAAAACAGTCTGATTGGCGGAGGGCGCCACTTAGCGCCTTAGGCATTCTTTAACAAACAACCATAATGTAGAGTATTTCGTGTGCAAATTGCGCTTAATACAACAAAAGTTTGCGCAAAATTTTGTTTGCTCCTAGGTGTATGTTATATTTGACATTTTGAAATCACAATCGAAAAAATGCTTAGGAATGTGCCGCAATGTATAAGTAATATATGTATATTGAACAAAGTTTATAGAACTGCCTTATCCTCCTGTAGCGGAAAAATCCAACAATACTTTAACCGAGACTGAAAATCTCGATATTTAGTGTACATATGACACACAAAGCTTGTTAAAAATTGTGTGCTTGTATCTCTCAACATTAAATTATAAATAGAACCAGATGTCTATCAAATTACATCATGCATTGTATGTTAATGAATGTGCTAGGAATTGTTACGTATTTTTTAATGTTTTACGGCTCGCGTCTGTGCCTAACACCAAATTGCAAGTATTTCTCGCTTTAAGAATAATTTGATATGCTCTAGTTGCCGTAGTAATACGCCATAGGTACTTTTGTTTTCTTCGAAGAGCTCTCGATTTTAATCTGAAGTAACTTTTACTTGTAAAGGTGTTTATAGTAGAAACTCTGTCGATTACGTTATTTCACTTTATACATATTTCAACTACCTACCTTATTTTGCATCATCTTTTGTGATTAGTAAAATAATAAAATATTCTTTTTCTTCCCAAGACATATTTTTCACATTTACAAACCATTTTTGTTTGTACTTAGGGTCATCAACTTTTGCAGTACCTACTTATTGCTTACAATATATTTTTCTATTCATTTTTTTATGTGATAACACGGCAAACGAGTAGAAGGATTACCTGATGGTAAGCAATCAGCGACGCCCATGGACACCCGCAACAAAGGAAGAGTTACGAGTGCATTTTTAGAAGTTTCGGGATTTAAGGATTGGGGGAGGGGAAGGATTCGGCGTCCGGTAACATCACTCCCACAACGCTGTGGTTGTTTCACGCCGGTTATCTGTGAAGCCGGTCGAGCCGAACCATTCGTGCCGATGCATGGCTCTTCCTCATTTAAATGTGAACTAGACAGAATTACAATGTATTACAAAAGTTTTCTCCGTTCCACAGTACAAGGAAAGGGTCAAATATAAGTTCCTTCGACACTGGGGCGGTCGGAGACAATAGTACCCGTGACTCACCATTACGCCGCGGCAGTGTGACAACCCTGGACGAAACGCTGAGTATCAACGATGCAGGAGAATGGACCAGAGTACATTATGAGTACAATAGCATAGAGACCAATAGCAAGGAGTTGTGGATTGATAGGTAATGTATAGAAACTTTTTGTTTGAATATACACCTTGTTTTGTTACGTTCAAGACTGCTTGTAGCATGCAGTAGAAATGGGATGCAGATATCAAAATTAAATTGGTCCTATATATTAATAAGTTAAAATGGTACTTTACTCCAATGTAATAAAGTTTTAAATTTGTTATTGGTTTCAAATCAACTGCATTTAGACCATTCTATTTCTTATACGAATTTTTTTTTCTGATATGGGTTTTCTGTTTTCTGACATTAAACATACAATTTCACTACACGCCATACTAAGAGCTGGAACAAAAATTTATGGATCACACAAAGAGTTGTTTCGTGTGTGAATCGAACCTGCGTCAAGAAGTGCGGCAGCAAGTGTAGTTTAAACTTTAAATACTACATTGTAAAATTCTAAATGGAATTGGATAAACTATTTGAGTTTGATATCAGTTGATTTCGGGGAAACGTATACAATGTGCCAGATATACGGCATCAATTTTCATAATAATCTGTTAAGAATTACAAATAAACTTGACACGAATATAATACTAATAATATCCTATGTGATTTTCTCCTTTCAGTGGTATACCGAACGGGCTGAAAGTATCGATACTAAACTGGTGTTGTGAGACGTTGAACCTGAACGAGCCTCTAGCAAATGATCTGTTGGCTGAGCTAGTGTCTAGTGAGAAACCTATCACTCTGCCAGGTCTACTTACGTTGGTCGCCGACACGCTGCCTCGGGTTTGTATATTGTTTTTTATATTAACATTAATTAGGTAATTTACTCATGCTCGACTAGTTTCAAGAGACACGGGAGCTTATAAATTCATAAAATAAAGTTTTTTTATATTTATGTCATTTCAATGATGATTCCAATATGACTGGTGGCTATTAATGTACATTTTACATAAATGAAAGATAATTTAAAATAGTAGTGAACATGACATTTACTTTTTGATTTTATTTGCCGGGGAATAGTAAATTAGTAATTTAAAAAAATAGGTTTTGACTTAATAAATCTCTATTTTTTAAATGGTCTTACTATTCCAATGTCAACTATGTAGTAACTAAAGTTCTAATTAATAAGGTGGTGGCAAACCAGCATCTATTACACATAGCATGTTTATTTTCATAAATCAATGAATTAAAAAAAAAAAGAATATTTTTATACTCAACTCTATATTTTTAAATCTAAGTAATTTTTTCTGGACTAAGGAAAGGAAATTACCCAATAATGGTATTTATACAGGTGATACCTCATACGTTGGTGGGTCGTCGCGGCGAGGCGGCCGCGCTGCTGGCGGCCGTCGCGGCGCTACTGCCGCCCGGGGACGCTCGGCGGGCGCGGGCACTGCACGCCTTACTCACTCTCGTCAAAAAACCTGATCGAGCTGATACACATACTATATGTGAAGGTATTTAGACTGTATTGACTATGTACCTGGTGTATTATTTATAAAATGAATATACTGAGTGACCGGTAAATAATAGATAACCTTAAAATTTTATGTTCACTTAGAAAAAATATAAAAAAAAAAAAAAAAATTCCCTTTTCTATACCTCTTAGTACACTAAAAGGCATTTCAAGATTACATTAGTTACCCGACACCCTGTAAGTGTATAAGTACGTTTATGATCGATCAATTCGATGTGAATATGTAGGTTTAGCCTACACTAATGGAAAAATAGTTGTCATTTTTTGTAGGTATGATTTATCAAAATGGCCCAAAACTGGCCAAAGTCAGATTTGCTCAAAATGTGAACTAAATTCTCTAAACTCTATTATAATAACCTAAACCTTTGATGCATAAAAATTTAATCTTCTACACCAGCGCACACAAATCCTTCATATTTACTTCTCTCTATACACAAATCCATAATCATATATCAATTTTTCCAGCAACCTGTCTAATAGTAAAATGGGGTGGCAGCGGCGAGGTACTATCGTCAATAGCGGAGTTATTAGCCTCGAGGTCCATAGAGCGTCGCATACTGGCCAGTCAGGTCTGCATGGCTATAGCTCCGTACGTCCCCATAGAGCTCTGCACATCTTTACTTCTAAGCCTCGTCGTACTTATGTGTGAGTCCAATGAGCTTGAGATCAGAACACTGGGACTCAAGTCAGCCTGCCTCATCTGTCCCGTTGCGGACCACAAGTACAGTCAACTGGAAAGTTTAATGTTCAATTTCCTAAAGGATCCAGTTGAAAAGTGTGTGAAGGATACTGTTAATATATTTGTACCTGTTCTCGCTAGGAGTGCTTTGATGGCTGGTGAGTGTGTTTTTATAATGTTGATGAATATGATCAGGAAGTTAGGTTAGGTCATGTCACTTAAATCACAGTCTCGCAAGAGTCTCATTTTTTCCAAGCTTTTTATTGGTGCCGGGGTTATGCAAGTGCACTAATGTACCGAAACCCGGCTCGGAACAGGAAAAGGATCGATGTGGTTTATAGTCAGTAAGAGTCAGACAACCAAGCCATTTGAAAAAAAAAGGGTTTGCACTGAGTCTTTGCCAAACTCAGCTGAACATCAGCAGTTTATAAAAGGAGTTTCTAATTTAACATCTATGAACATATTCTTATTTTGAGCTAATAATTAAACTAGCAACTGAGTACCAAATGCTTTCTCGGACTCTGCCTTTTCATAATATTTTTTTTATTCCAGGTAAATTCTCAACGGACCTGTGCAGTCGTATCATGTCGAATTTAACGAAAGCAAGCAGTGATAACGAGTGGAAGGCAGTACTGTTATACCTAGATGTATTACGAATGATAGTTTTAGCTAAATTGGCCTACGTAGTCAATGTACAAATAGTAAGGGAAGTTACCCTAAATAACTGTGATATACAAAGTTTTAACTTACAAGAAGTACCTCTAGAACAAGAGTATTTTATGGATCTACAGTGCTATTTCTCGGAAACTGAGGACGCTAAGCTACTCTTGTTGGCAGCTAATAATTTAATTAAGGAGAAACCTGATGTCAGATGGGCGGAGTTAAGTTGGTTTATTAGCACGTGAGTATATCTTAATTTATTTGATTTTCTATCTTTATGTTATAGAATATAGGAAGTTTTTGAGCTCACAAAAATGCTCCAACTCATACATAGAAAGGGATAGAAACCTCAGTAATTCACATACCATATTATGTCGAACGTTCGTTTATTATAACGTAAAACCAACATTGTACATTTAGGTTACAATCAACTTTTGACTTTGTGTTTTGAAAAAAAAAAAACAAATACATAATATGAAAATGTTTATAAATATTACATTAATTCTTAATTGCATTTTTTTTATTGGAACACGACATAACCTTGCTAGCAAAAATAATATAATACTTTTACTACTTTAATTCAGATAGCCAATGCCATTATTATTTCCCAATATAACTGAACTCTTTATCTTTACAGATTAAAACAAATACTAGACGTGGTATCAAACACGAAAGTTTTGAACCACACATCGATATACGAACTCCTTATATCCCTGGTCAGCAGTTACGTGGACAATTTTGGCGTTCCATTTACTCAATATATATTAAAACCTATATTTATTGACGTTATATCGGAATTGGAACATAAGATGGAAAAACTACATCCTGTGAATGTGGATAGTACTGTGGCAGTTGGTGTATACTTGATCACTATATTACCTGTGCTCGATGATAGTGTACAACATGCCGAGTTTTTACAGAAGTAAGTATTTGAAAATTAAGATAATTCGTATGTGCGAGGGCTATGCTTAGACACGAATGGGCCATCACGACCGGAGTGATGCCAAGGCCTCATAGAAAAGTGGCGTGAAACAACCACGGCGTTGTGAATGTAATATAAATATTATACAAATTTACAATCTATTCGTGGGCATCTCTTGAAGAAGTTGGCTGAATCATCACATTTAATAAAACTTCTATATGGAGTACATATTAAATAATAATAGGTTGATTTTTTAAGGAAAATCAAAACTTTTTAAATATAGTTTGAATATTTAACTAAATTATTCAGGTACCATTTTGTTCGGTAATTTTTTGCCATCTTGAAGGTGGGGACATGATCCCATTGCCAGCCAAGTAGTTTTGTCAGTCCACTAGTGATTTTAACACACGGACACTGCCTAAAAATTCTGAGAACATCGGAACGGGTGGAAATCTTAAGGGGCAAAGACCGGATTATACTGCGGATGCATTAACATCTCCCCAACCAAACTTTGACTGGCTAAAAGGATCAGATCTAGGTAGCGTTATCATGATGGAAAATGCCTACTGCATTAAGTCCACCTATGTACAAATGAAGTGCATAAAGCTTAATTTTTATCTAAACCTTGCCTTACTTTTCTGTGGCTAGGTTCTAAATAAGTTTTAAACTTCTAGATGGGTAATGTACAGCAGTATACGCGGCCTTCCAGTCAAAATATTCTCCGTACCTTTGAAATGGGTGGCGGAGCATAAAGAAGAATCTCTAGATTTTTATTTGCAGCACCTTAGAGAATGTAAGTACAAAAAAATTATTGAATATATTAAGGAGAACTGTTTTTTAAGGGGCATGCAGATTATGATAGCGGCAAGTAATCAGTGCTTCTCACGTAAAGTCGCAACACCGACTTCTTTAGGTTTTCAAACACTTTCCCTAAACTTTATAGTTGTGTCTTATTTTCTTCAATAATCTGGTTCTTGTATAACTTTGATATCTGCGACATACGTTACCTTTCCGTATTGTATGTACCTGTGCGTCCTAGACGGGAATAAATACTTTTTCTTTCTTTCTTTCTTTCTATATAAGCAGATATCTTTCCAAATAAAACGTTTAGCCTGATAAATAGTTTTCTAGTTTCTCTTATTTTCTAAAAGGGCATCGCTAAGACAATGGACCTCCTTTAAGAGCGGTTTACAACGCTATGCAAAAAAATTATGACTAATGTATTTTAAGTTATAAGTGCTTTGCTTGGTAACTTCGGTTAGTTGGTGATCTAGCGATGCGCGGCATTGCATGAAGCAGTGCTGATACAAAATTTCTGCAATTTACTGTATTTTATTTGTTATACATAGAGACCTTCATCAATCACAACAGCCGTTGCGTAGTTTTAAAGATTCAAGCATACATAGGGACATAGGAAAGAGGAAGCGACTTTGTTTTATACTATGTAGTGATTAAAGAAATATTATTTTGTACAGTCGCGGCCAGCAGTTGCGAGAGTTCCAGCGGTAGTACGATCCGCATGTACATCGCGAACCTCATCACGGAGCTACTGAACGCAACGGAGCTGGCAGAGAGATGTATAGAGAGACAACTACTGCCCGCCGTCATGGCACTGCTACACGATGAAGATGTGTAAGTCACGCGAAGACACTGCATCGATTTATTCTGTATATTTTTACGTAGAAATCTCTTAATACCCTTTCATTCATAAAAATAGGCCTTCTGCGATATATTAGCTTATCTGGCATTAAATAGAAATTATTTTGATTCTTACTCGTTTACAGTTTGGCAGAAGTAATATTTTTTTTTGGAAATTTACTGTAATTATGAATTAACCCCTTTTTTCTTATGTTCAATTATTATATATACTCGGCGTGTTTTGTCATAAATTCAGTAAATTATGTTTTGCTACTTCGTAACTATTTGACAAGATTACCCGACTAGTTTCAACTAACGATAGGAGCCCATATACTTGAGAAACATTACGCTATTAAGAAAAGAGAGATAATTTTTAAGCAATCGAGAGTTTAGAAGAATGCTTACATTTATAATGGTAACTTTAATTTTATTTTGTAGGTCCGTTCGCGAAGAGGCGATTTCAGCATGGGGTAGTGTAACGCGGACATGTTTGATCCGTGGCCTGGACTGCGAGGCGCAGTGCTGGCCGCCCGTCGAGGACATGTTGGCCTCCAACCAGGCACTCACTGTCAAAGAAGCAGCGCGAACTGCTGAGGCACTAGCATTACTCGTACTGCCTACTGTTGATAACCACGCTGTGTCTGAGAAAGGTTTGTGTGTTTCTTTTTCTCAGTTTGATTGCACGGTTGGCGCAGTGGCTGGGCAACGTGCCGCGGGTTCGATTCCCGCATGGAATAATACGTTGTGTGATTTACAAATGTTTGTTTCGTGTCTGGGTGGCTTGTGTATGTGAATTTGTATGTTTGTCAACGCATCCACGACACAGGAGAGAAAATTCTAGTTTGATGCGTAGTTAAAAAAAAAAACTTTTTAGGGTCGACATTAATGTGATAATTGGTTTATGCTTAATATTTTCCATACAACGAATGTTACTTATCCTTTATTAGTTGCTGTGTATACTATGTTTAGTCGCAGGTTTAATTTTAGTACCAGTGGCCTAAATATACGATCTCTATGTATAGGTAGCATTCTCAAAATATTCAGCAACTTAACTATGTTCGAACTCAAACCTCTTATCATAATATTTAAAGGAGATAGATGTTCAAGGAGATTGTGGCATTCTTAAGCGAAAGTTTTTGTTCAACAGTTTTTCTGGCTAATTAAGTCATCATCACGAACCTATGGGCGCCCACTGCCTAGCAAAGGTCTCTTCTTACTTACACGTAGAAGTTTGGATTTTTGGACCCCGCTTGGTCAAGGCTGATTGGCTATGTTAAATTACATTTTCTTACCTTGTTTACCTGCACCGTTTGTCAATGGTGTTCAAATAAACTTAAAAAGTAAATATAATTCGGAAAAGTTCATATTGGCACTGTGTACTTGTCAAGTTTTGAAACCTGCACCTTCATGCATAAAAAAGACAGACAAGTGGAAGAGCGGAGTCTCTTAACACAAGCAAATTTTTCATTAAAAAAAGTAGGCCTCCAACAATTATATGTCAAATGCCTATTGAAATTGAAATAAACTTTTTTTTTTGCATGTAGACCACCAAAAATGTTTGGGCATCACTGTCCTTTCTCGAGTTTTAAACTATTTCTGTGCCAAATTTTTCGAAAATAGGTTCAGTAGTTAAGGCGTGAAGAAAAGACAGACAAGCAGAGTTACGTTTGCATTTAAAATTTTAGTTTGGATGTCTTCTCTATAATTTGGGTTTTTTTTTTTTTTTCTTTTTTTCTTTTTTAAAAAAACGTTGCCCCACATTAGGATTTTCTCCTGTGTCGTGGGTGCGTTTACAAACATACAATTTCACATGCACATCACACCCAGACCCGGAACAACAATCTGTGGATCACACAAAGAGTTGTTCCGTGCGGGAATCGAACCCGCGACACGTTGCGCAGCAGCCAGTTGCCCAGCCACCGCGCCAACCGTGCAGTCAAATTGCAAGGTTTGTTTATGAACTTTAGCGGTGTCGCTGCTATGCGCGCTATGCGCGGGCGCGGGCGCGCGGGAGTGCGTGGCGGCGCTGACGCCCGGCCTGCAGCTGGCCGTGCACCACTGCAGGCACCATCCTGCCTTACTGCACGCACTCAGGTCCGTATACATCACTACCATCTCTTTATAAAGCACTCTGTGTATGTATGCACTTTTGTGACGATCTTGCAGTTTCATTTTAAAGCAAACATCTGCTAACGATTGCGTTTAAATTTATTTGCATGACCATAAATGGTAAGCTGTATAAAACTTTACTAACATTTTTATAGATTTAAAAAATGTTACTAAAGTGTATATAATTCGGGACTTAGAGCCACCTTATAAAATTTTGTTCATGTGTCTCAACATGTTTAATATTAATTAATTACCTATTTATTTGTGTGGCTGTATTCAGTTATACTACGGTCCATTAACGTCATTATACTTTACTCAAACTACAGATTCAAGCTTGTCTTAGAGTGGCTTTAAGTTTGTAATAATTGTTTGGCATCACTATGAACTGTACTGTATAACTGTATTTATGAATATATCTATGACGATCTACGGATGCATGTATATGTTTATCTCTATAGAAATCGTTGGCACAAGCAAATAGCTTCTATATATGTACTAACTAAGAAACGGGCACTTTTCATTATTTAAATCGATTTTCAAAATTGGCTTTCATGGTCTAATTGAAATAAATGATTTGACTTTGATTTTATCTATGTATCTTAATAGGCTCTCAATAACATATACTTATTTTCACTAACAGGAAATTAGAAGAAAACGTACAATCACCAGCGTTATCCCAGTACAAGGCCGCCATCGAAGCTCTCATACACAACTTGGTGGGCACCGGGGGAAGCGGGGACATGATCAGAGAGCCCCCACCACGACCGAACACTAACCTTCAAGCTGCACAGGAGGTCGGAAGAAGAGTCACACAGATATTCCAACAATCAAAATCGAATATGAACTTACAGAACATTTTTAAGAAGAAAACTTAACGGTAATTGCTTTAATGTTATAAATTGTAGGAAGAAAATACTTTACTTTGCTGTTTTATTGCATTTTTATTCTAATGTTAAGAAGAAGTGCAAGACTTTAGCAAGACTATAGCACTTTCTTCTACTCATTAGAATTATAATGCCAATAAAATACCTTAAGAAGTCAGGTCGCATGAAGAAAATGTTCAAAACAATAAAAAAAGGCTAATCGTTTCAGATATTTCCAAATACTACTTCAAAATCATATTCGCATATGTCAAAATTTAGTCAAGTGCCTAGTTTATTGATCAATGGGTCAGTTGGTACCATTATACCAAAGTATAACAATAATGGAACAAATCTATGCAGTATTTTTGATCACATAAAAAAATAGAACATTTTCGCATTGAAATTTGAAATCAATTCATACAAATAATACGGTAGCATATGTATGCAAGTTTGGGAATATCTGCCAATGTGTCAAAACAAAAAAAAAACACCTACTTGTACAATAACTTCATTAGATAAAGTATTTATTACGTTTGGTGATTCGGTATATTCACAAAACAATCTGGCATTGCTTTGCAGAAATCGAGACCAAGGTATACATAGAAAAATATCTACTTTTTAGAAGTAAGAAGTAAACTTCTTGGTTGATATTATACCAGATATTTTATGTGAACTATTGCTTCGATTCAGTATAAACAAAATAAATAATTTAATCTATCAAATTAATAAAAGCGAGGTTCGCAATTCGCAGGGGAGATATGGATTTTTCTGGCAATAAACCATTTCAATTCTTACACAACAATATGAAATGTTAAAGACAAAACATTTTTATCGTAAGTTTACTTACACAATGTTTTTTCAAGCAAGTCATGCTGACTTACCGAGAATTCTTAATTTTATAATCAAAAAATTACATGGGGTACGATCGATGCGGTTTTATAGACGCATTTAAATATAGTATGTGTTCATTTGGAACCATCTACAATATTTTAAATTAAAAAGTTACTACCACCCTTTTATTATAAATAAAAGAATATAAAAAATGGCATAAATAAAAAAATCTTGCGCAATAACATGTAATATATTATTATACCTAATAAAATATTGTTTATCAAAACCAAAATATTTTTTTTGCAAGTCATACTTAGTAAGATGGATGATTGTTACCCCACGGTATTAATAAATCCTATCTGTATCTTTATTTATTATAAATGAAACAATTTTTTCATGAACGAACTGAATTAATTATGATTTTAACTATTTCATAAACTGAATCACCAAATGAAATATCTTACATTAATTAAACTACGCATCGACAAACAGGAAATCAATTAAAATGTTATATTTTATTACATCTATATTTCCTCTAAAGAAATAATGCCATAAAATAAACTATTTTAGTATAAATTAATGCTTTAACCCAACGCATGACAAGGATTACTCCTAACTCCATATTTTAGAAGCTTTTTCATGTTACTAGATAACTAAGTCAGATTAATGAAGAAATTATACATTCCTCATGATATTACTCCTTTAACTTTATTTATTATACACTATTATTTTTATGTGCATTCTTAGGCTAAATGGGGTTCAAACTTGGAAACATAAGTGTTTATTTTCTTAATTAAGGGCTGATTTTTCAATGGTTAGATATAGTTATCAGGGAAATAATTATGATGGTGTCGCGTCAGAATGTTTGTATAAGCCAGCTACGGCAACAATTTTATTCCTCAGATAACATTTATCTGACTATTGAAAAGTCAGCCCTAAGGGTCCTATATCATTACTACGCATCGGTCACCATCATAAGTCACCGTGGTGTAAGGAGACTCTTCAGAGATCAAATACCAGGGTTGATTGTCGTTATTGAAAATAATAACTTATTCACGTGAATTTACTGAGAAGAGCTATACTAGTTTCAAGTCAAAACTTATTCATGAGCAGCGTGCGCGTCGCGGCGACGTCGCGCATCCAACTGAGTAGATCCTTTTCAGTTAATTCATGTGAGGAAGTCCTTATTTTCAATTATTTTGTATGTCTCACGATAGTTACTGTTTAGAAAAAAGGGTTGATTGACAACAGAGTCAATACAAGGTAAATGCGATTACGCGACCTGATGGTACAACCATCTCACACTTTAATTACATAAATGTTTGTTGTTAGTTACTGAGAAGCACGGATGGTAATGTAATTGTTTTTTGTTAGTGAATAAACACCTTAGTCGTGAATGAGGACATCACCTTGATATTTAGTTTCTTGTCAGCTAGCTAACCAATGGTAACATACTAAAATTAGGTAACATAGGTGTCGTAGAATCAAAGACGTAACAATTAAAATTTTCTTGTTGTTTTAGGTACTTTTTTTCATTGTCTCAAAATTCTAAATGCCCTTATTCGTGCACGTCGAAAAAAACTCTCACAAAAAGTACTTAATTAGTATTATTAATTTCATTTTAGCTTAGGATAGTACAAATTAGTGCAATATACAACTCGTTTTATTTAAAAACTCCATTAGGGATACAATGTTACTAAGTACTTAAATATTATATTATCTATTGAATGGTGGTTTTATTATCTGTGCCTCTGTGTCATCGAGACTCACGATGATATCTCTGATTTGTGTTAAAATCACGAAATATTCGACTGCAAATATCTACAGATTTGAGATAGCGATTAAAACAATATTTTTTTAAGTTACTAATATAACTACTTCGTAATAATACCGTTTCCTTTTTGTAACAAATTACCTGTAAATATTTGGTACAGTAGTCAGGTAATCCCAATCTGAGTGTGTGTATATTATGATGATTTCTTCTCAACAATATTCTCTTATTTTACAAAACTATTGAATAATTGAAGCTATAATTTTATATGTATGTGTATACAATCAGAGATACCTTTACCTAAACTAGTATGGTGCTTCCTAATAAGAACTGTATGCTCTTCGAATATACGATCTTAACTAACCATGAACATGTGATAATTGATTTACAATATATTATGTACGCCTTCTTTAAAACAAAATACTCGAATTATAATATAACTCTATTATTGTCGTGTATATAAAATCAAATAAATACTTAAAAACGTATATATATTTATTATATTCACTGTATGTACTGTTACATTACATAGATACTCGTTAAATAGTTGAATCTCCAGCAAAATGTTATTTACTAGACTATAGCAGTAGATACGCTAATACCCCTAGTTGAATGAAACGGAAAAGTGCTTTGTATAAACACATCAGTGATTGGCACATAAACATATTTGGAGGTTGTGTTAACATTGTGAAATATATAAATTTTATTTTATAAAATGTTTTTTATTTAATTGTCATGCTTTTAAATTTAATAAGTAAGTACATTAAACACATGAAAAGAGTATTTAAACTTATTGATAACATTACAACTTTTTTCCTTATTCATATTTCATATTGATCAAATCATTCACGAATCACGAACATAATAATGTCATCAATTCGTAAACAGTCATCGTAAATAATTCAAAGTTCCGAGTTAGTTTGTAAACGCAAGTCATAGCTCAGTCATGCGGCTTAGGTAGATATATCGGCATGGCCACTTTTGTAATTAACAAAGACATGATAATTTCATGCTAAGCTTGCTCATTCAGCAGTTCTCTGTTAAACCAGTTGAGTAGGTACCTAGTTTGATTGGTACCCATTGCGTAGGTGCGTGTCCTGGATTCTGCACATTACATGCCAGGAGTACATACCCATCATAAACCTTATAGTGGGTCCTAGTCGCCAGGTTGTTTCTGTCAGCAGTAATTAAATGCTTCTTTGTGAGGCGAAAATCATCAAATGACTTCTCTCGCCCCGGGTAAGGCGAGTTCCGAGCGTCAGACTACTACTGACTAAAATCCTCTGGCGCCTTCTACTGTTCCAGATCGAGACCGCGGTACCTTATTGCGCTTTTCCCGCAACCCTGGCTAAAAATCAGTCTGTGGTGGTCTATTGGTTCTTTAAGGCACGCGCCATACGCTCGGGTCTGCTGTCAACAGACGGTTTCCGGAGATCGTCGTTCGATCCCCGTCGCCCGGCGTGTTGCCTACTGCAGCTTTGGCGTGAGGTGGATAGCTCCCACACGTGCTCCGCCCCTTCTTTGCCAGCATCATTGCTTCGCAGAAAGAGAAAACGACGTCCCAGTTACTCCCGTTCCACACCGTGGCCTTCTCTTAGCCAGACGTGAGAGCACGCCGCCGCCAATCACTTCTCTGCGGACATGGCTGTGCTCAGCCCTAGCAGGGCACACCGCCACCGTTTGTTCCACCGTGTCCTCCGCTATGATATGCTGACAGAGAAAGGCGCAAGTGGCATCTATTTTTGAGTCTAATATTCCAAAAGAATGTTCAACAGGATCACAAGAAGGCGTCGACGAGGCTTCCGCAGGCACAGCAGTATTATGCCGGCATCAGGCGTAATAAAAGGGGGCTCAACGCGGTCACTTAATAGCCTCAGGGATGACGGTGGCACATTGATCAACTTGTAGCAAATACATACATAGTTACGTGGATATTGTACAAAGAGGTTGTGACAATATGGATTTTGAGATTATTGATAGCTAAGTGGGATATTTAACCTACTTTTAGGTACTTATAGCATGGATGTAAAGTATGGCAAGACTATTGTATTATATCTATTAGGTACACAAAAGGATAGTAGGCACTAGGTATATAGTAAGACTAGGTTAACCAGGATTCGTCGTTCGCATTTTTACAAATAAATTAGAATCACAAAATTTTCACTTAATTATATCTTAACATTGATTGATATAAAAATCAGATATTAACAGTTTCGAAATTATGTGTACCGTTATCAGTGATAAATAACGTTTAGAAATTGGTTTCACCCTGATTTAGGGTGTTTATCGATGTTGTATGAACACAGAAATAAATACATGATAGTAATCCATGATTCTTGATTATCAATTGAGATTGATTTGTACATAGAGTAGCGTGCAAACAGGCCGTGTGAAATGTTTTATATTATCTGACTATAAGATAAAATAAAAAATACTACAGATAGGAAAGTGTTTGGAAATTCGGTAGCAACCGCAACTATACCACAACTGACCTTTTAGGGTATAACAATGCCACAAAGATAAGATACAAGTTGGTACATGATTGCCTTGATCAAAGGCACGAAATAAATTATATAGGTAATGTAGCAGAAGTGTGGGAGAACCATGTTTTACATATGGGCCAGGTCGACCGGAGCGGTAGAATGACGGTGTGAAACAACGCAAGCGTTGTGTTTCGCCGTGTGATTGAGGTTGCTAGAGACTTCACCTCTTTTCTGCCGGTAGGTATATGACAAACAATAGAAAACACATTGTCTCGCGTGGATCTGCGCTACGGCATATCACGGGTTAATTCTTCAATGTTTGGTACTACTTTATGTTGCTACTGAAATATTTCGAAGGTTGAGAGCAGCACTTGTTATCAGTCGACTGTCACAAATGAACGCGAGGCATTGGAACCCACGAAAAAAAAATAAAAAAAAACATTATACAAAAAATTGTACTTTATTAAATTAAACAAATGTACTACTTTGTGTATTTAGAACAAATTAAAATAATGACGTTCGTGTATATTACGTAATAGTTCATGGTTTATCAGTCGAGGGATTCTTCCTTTATTCCTTCTTCTTCCTTGGGCGCATGCAGCAAACACTGCTGGTGTCTAACATGTTGTAGTTAGCGTCGCCCTTGTTACGTGACTCGATGAACTTGGCGTGAGTCTCCGGAGACAGGTAGTACAGCTTAACAGCAGGAACGACCTTCATAGCTTCAATGTAGTTCACCTGTGAAAATTATTACACATTACATACATAACGTCATACCACTTATTTCTCGGAAACAGAGAGTTTAATAGGGTAATACGACTTCAACAGGCAAATAAAAATTACTTCTCTGGTGTATCAAAATAGTTAAAAAGCAGTTGAAAATTACTATTGCGCAACACTTTGTAACGCAACTAAAAATAAAACCATCAAGAAGTAGTCACGCAATATTTTTCTTGCAAGTCATACTTACCAATAATTCATATTTTGACTTGACTAACTCAAATTCAGGTTTGCCAACCAGTGGCAGGGCTTCAAAACGCTCTAAGAATGGGAACAGGGTGTAGTCTACTAGTCCTGGAGTTTCTCCATGTAAGAACTTGGTGCCACGTGCTCTCAGGGTGTCTTGGAGACCTTCCAGGCCCTTGTGGTAGGTGTCTACCATGTTAGGTTGCAGAGCTTGTGAATTGTAGGCAGCAGTGTAGAATGCTGATTGAACCTGTAACAATAATGAAATACATTACTGATCATGGAAGTCAAATATTTATAAGAGGACCAATTAAATGGTGTCATAATATTATATGAGTTTTAAAGAAATGTTACCATATTTTTCTTATATAAAATTTTTCTCTTCTCTTATAGAACAGTTTTCTTATAGAAATAGTTATTTTTTTTTCTATTTTTAGCTACTTAATAAATAATTATTGGTAACATGTTACAATAAGTTCAATCAAATATGATTCTAATTAGAATAGAATTAAAACAAAAACACATACCCCAGCAAAGAGTTCTACAATAATTTTGTCTTCAGCCCTGCGCAGTGGGTCAGTGGACTGCAGAGGTACATCTGGGTACTTCTCATCCAAGTAGAAATTAATGATGTTGCTGTCGAAGATTCCTTTGCCCTCCTCATACTCAAGAGCTGGTACAGTACCTAAATAATACAAAGAGTCACTATAATTTCTAGGTAGGTGTTATCCCTGTTGAATAATGCATCTTTGTTTTGTGTGTCAGATTCTAACTGACTAAAAACCCCCCATTCGTTCTCCTGCTCTGGGCCGAGGTGACGCCGCCATTACGCTTACCCAGAAACCCCGACTGAACAATGTATCTTGCTTCTTATGTAACAAGTACGAAATTCAAAATTGCTACTTATGTTTTTCATCAAATAAGATATTTATTTCCCTTGGATTGCCAAAAAATAAGAATATTAAATATATAGTAAAATAATGAATAATACTATAATAACTTCTTTTTGACTAAGGAAACATCCAATTCTGCAGGACAATTTAGTCTAAAGGAATGAATTATTGTCTCGTTTCTGAATTTCAAAATTTTCTGCAAATACATGAAGGTTGGTATTGTGGAAGGAATAGGCTTGGCCCTTTTTAGTAAGAAAAAAGTTGATGTTAATTTTGTGGGTCAGTGGGTATGTAATGGAAATGTAAGTACACCATTGCTTATTCTCATTTTACTATTCAATTGTAGTCATTAGAGACACAATAGAAGAACAATAGGCACATGAACACCAGCTTTCATTTGCGGTTTGATGAATTAAACAAATGAAATTGTGTGAATTTTATTTTAAGTCATTAATAAGACTTGTAAAGAATTTTTTACCAATTTAACCTTTATCTATTTCATGCAAGAGTAGACATTAGCACGCTTCATTAAACTGGATAGAATGTCATTGATTTAATTTGTTCAAGCATAACATTTGAATGAGATTTGAGTCTGTTCAGCTTTATCATTTTACACATTTTATCAGTACTGATATCCAACACAACTTAAATAAATAATACTGTGTAGTGACACTTATCAGCAGGAAAGTGGCATATAGAGTTTGTTATAAAAGCCACAATGTTATATTTTAAGCCACTATTAAAAATAAGACTTCATAATCTTAGTTACTTTAGTTTTTCTTGTAAGAAAATATGATTTTGCACTATTTTTGTAAGATTGTATCAAAGAATGAGAAGCAAAATTTTCTAGTCTTACAGTTTCTTTTGTTTATGCAGATTACTTTAGGCAGATGTCTTCAAACATTTATAAGATATGCCAATCCATTAAACAAGGTATTGAAGTAAGTTCTTATGTTTCTTAACTCTGTTACTATACTATTAAAATATTGGTCAGTGGGTAGTCTTAGGGGATTTGCATGCCATAAAGGTAGATTGCATATTTGTAACAGCTTATCTCTGTACTTATATTAATTGCAAATATCAATACTATTATAATAAATTGTACTTATTTAATGAATATTTTAAAGATTAACTTTTCAATAAAAATATATAAATTAAGTACATTGTATGTATTAAGCAAGTAATTCTTTAAATGTTTGGTTTTAATAGATGAAAGAATGGCATAAAAATTATCAGTAGAATCAGTGTAGTGTGGTAAAAATGTATTAGAAATGTGTAGGTGGTGTAAAATTATATTTAATTTTGTCTACCCAATATCATTCTAATTAGAAAATAGCTAGTAAAGCAATATTACTCATTTATCTTCCTAATTAATATGTATTGGATTAACTAACTCACCTTTAGGGCTGTAGTTGAGAAGCCATTCTGGTTTATGATCCAAATTCACGAAAACTGTATCATATTGCAAATTCTTAGCATTCATCACTAACACAGTCCTTTCAGCATAAGGACAGAACCTCATAGCAAACAGCCGAAGTTTTCCACCATACGGCGGCAAGGCATCACCTGATACAAAAAAACAAAAGAGGTTAAAATAAGATACTAAAAAACATTCATTAAAATCGGGTCGATTCTAGAACAGTAACATACCGGTTTGTAAATGCTTCTCAGACATTTTGCAGCAGTTGTATTTATCTGTAAAATATGTGTAATATTAGTAACGCTGGTCAACAGCAACTCTCAACACGTAGTCGGTTTATTTTGCCGCAGATCCGGCCGGCCTTCAAAATTTATAGTATTCTACCTCTCCTTCTCGACCTCCTCTCACTGTCAAAGTGTCAAGTCACAACACATCGTCGTAAAATTCTCAGCTGTCAATTTTTTTTTTTTTGGAGTTTATGGCCTGGATACGAGTCCTTTAAGCCAATCTCAGCTGTCAACAGTACGTACCAGTGCTGCCAGTAGTTAAATTCAAATTTACACTGGAATAATGTTAAATAATTTAAGAAATACTTTACATAAACAAAATAAAAAAATACAGATGTTAGTATGTGAGAGCACAAAAACGACTTTTGTATGTTTGACAAGCTCAATTTTTACATAAAAATTTTGTAACATCAAAATAAATAAATTGTAATCAATATTTACTTGTTTTCAGGGTAAATCTGTACTACCAAAATTAAATGACTAAATAAATTGAATGGAGCCTAGGCTTTTTGCATCATAGAAATTTTACTTTGTGTGCAAAATGCAACTTATAACTTTTTATAGGCATTCAGTTCAATGAAATGAAATAAGAAAGACAATGAGGATATTAAGTGCATTTTCATAAATCAGGCTGTAAAATAGCTGATACGGTACCAAAATAATAGTCTGTGCAGAAGTTGTGGTGTGGCCAAAGTGATGATAACTTTATTCGACCTCAGCTTGGTACTCGAGACGGACTGGTTATTAATCAGTAACACTGACACTCCCTCACGCCTCAGAGGGATGGCAAGAGACATTTGATGACTTTTCTAATTCAAAGTAAATTTTAGCGATTATTTGGTGACCAGCCCGTTTGAAAAGGCCTTGGAATTTGTCCACATTTACTTATAGAATAAAAAAATAGTAAATAGTTAATAGAAAATAGAATGAAGTAGACAGCACCATGTATAATAATCATTCTTATATCATCATAATCATCATCTCTCTCTAGCCAGCATTTTATAGAAACAAGGTAGAGACATGCACTAAAGAGACAGTGTTTGACTTTGAATCGCGGTCTTTCGTTAGATATGTAGTAGGTTCATATTCATGGTAAACTACAACTTTCTAAAGCCGATAATTCCTATGGTTCATACTTTTATTGGTTTGAGGGGCCATCGACCAAACTGATGTAGGTATGAGGGCACCAGAGGAACGATAAAAGTGCACCGGACCTTAGGGATTGGGCCTCTGGAGAACGTAAGTTTATTTTGCTGATCAGCAAAAAGGTAACTTTTCAAAAGATAATTACGTTAGGTACTTTTATCTCTAACCTGTCACACTACCTACATAACGTTCGATTAAATGGGACTGATAAATGGTGATAATGGACGTCTCATCTTCAATGAGTTGTTAAAACAAGTCATGCAAACTGCATGATTGTCAAATATGATAGAATGACTTTGTTATAACATGAAGTCCATTTGAATAAAGTGGATTTCATGTTATATAATGTAATCGGTACAAAATAAAGCTTACGTAGATGTACCTAAATTTTGGAAATCTCTTCAGGCTGTGGCATTCCCAAACCGATACCACCTTCAAACCTTCAAGAAACGAGCGTATTCCTTCTTAAAATGCCGCGGTAACGCGCCTGTGACTCCTCTGGTGCTGCATGTATCCATGGGCGTTGCCTAAGTAGTTTCGTTTTCGTTCGTTTGCCTCCAATTCCATTAAAAAAATTGTATTGTCCATCGTAGGTATTTATAAATCAGATTACAGACATTTTACGGGCTATTCTAATTACGATGCCTATTAACTACATATTTAATTATCTACATCGATTGTTGGAACTCATGACTACGGTAATCCACGGAGTACCGTATTTTTTATGAGTGAAAAATCATTAAAAATGTCTTCTCTCGCCCAGGGAGAGGCGGGAGGGGGTGTCACACCTCCGTTCCTCCGTTCCTTCTCCTGCTTTAAGCCTAGGCTGCGGTCCTTTACGAAAACCCGGTTTCACTGAGTACCAATTTAGGTATACAGGTAGGCATTCGTAACGATATTGTGGTAGGGTAGAGTAGGTACTAACCTTCCATATCAAGTTAATCATGAAGTAATTGGATATATTACCTATTAATATTCTTATGCTTATTAAAGCCAGCCTGGAAACTTAGAAATAAAGAAAACGTTCCCAATAGTTAGTGCAGCCAACAATTGCCTTAGCTAGTGTAACTGAAATGTCCTATATTAGAATCAGATTAATCCTATATTGACCATCTACACTTCTTTTTGAAGGGAATTAAAAATATGTTTAACTGAAGGATATTAATTACTTAGGCGTTAACTAGATATTACTTTGATTGGCTAAGGTATGATCAGTATTTTTCTATTTTTCTACTCATCAATATACTTAGTTAAGCTTCATTAATAAATCCAATACTTAGTTAAAAAATCTCCTATGAACAAACACACTGAGTGATGGCTCGTCAATATCCAAAAATGGTCATTAACTTTCATTTGTTGCGGTACAACTTTATCTACTCGTATCTAAGAATATTGTTTTATTGTCTGGGTAGTGTTTATTCACGTCGATTACGAAACTAGTGTATGCGTAGCACGCGCGAGATTAAACAGCAAAAATATTGTCAAGGTAACGCTTAACTGTTGTGGTTCTGTGATGTAAGTTATAAACAGTCGATTAATATTGCCCAGTCATATTATTTTGATATTTGTGTCGAGTCATTATCTGTGATTTTTCGGGGAGTGTTTAGGTATGTTATCATCTACTATAAGTTTCGCGGTGCATTTGTATTCCTCACTTCAAGGAGTACAGACGATAGGACGAGCACTCGGACGTTTATTACCTTACAGCACGATGGTTGGAACAAATAAGAGAAACTTCAATACCCCACATCTGAAAACAGGTTAGTTGTGTCACAATTTACGTTTTAATAATAAGTTGTCTCTGGTAAACATTAACGCTGTAAAGTATAATGCGCAACATTTTGATAAAGCTTAGTCTTTAATCTTTTGTAGTGTTAATGCTACAGATAGGCGTATATAGGAAAATTTATTTACCTAATGATAAAATAAAATTATTGGCGAACACTTTTAAAAACGATTTTACAAAATACTTTTTTTCATTAAAAATATAATCATAATGACAAGAGTAAATATTGTGAAGCGTAAAGTGGGAGTAAGTATTAGGCGCGAAATTTAAAATGGTATTTCTTTTGAATATGGAAGCCAAATGAGTATGGCCCTCTGTAATTTTTGAGAAGTATCACAATACCGCACAAACCTATACCTATATAATAGGTACTATAGGAACCTACCATAGGAACCTACTATAGGAACTAACTAAAGTAGATTCATATCAATAAGTGAACCGAATAAAAATACAGAAATATCTTTATGTAACATAAGTGTATAATTAAAACAAACGTCAAATTATTTCGACAAACAGGTTTACAAGTCGTTAAGTGTGTTATTCTAGTTTTAGTTGTAAAGAAGGCATAACATGATTTGAGAATTGGAATCACACATTATTTTATGTACGTACACGTACAGTTAATTTTTTACACGCATTAAAGTTGTTGTCTAGTCAAGGCTAAGGAGTTTTCGAACTAACCGATATAATATATGCACAAAACACGCTATAAAGTCTCTAGTACCTAAGTCAATTTTATTATTGTTGCAAAAAATGCTGAAAATGATTTAATATCTACTTTAAATTAAATGTATCGAGTGGTACGGTAGTGGCAGGCGGTACTTAGGTACCCATAAAACAATTCTTTGATGACCACACGCACTCCAGTAGAGTTTTATTTTTTTAATGGAACACGGCGGCTAACTAGTCTACAGGGTGTGCCCTCTATGGCTGCTACCTATTACTTAATTAATTGCTGAAGAGTGCAATTAGGAACTATAATTTCATTAAAGATAGTGATTATTATACGTATGGGTACCTTTTTGTAAAATATAGGAATTAGAATTCTTTTTTAGAGACTTACGAATTTTTTTTTCTAAGCTTTACTGGTAGTTTATATCCATCGTTGTTCATAATTACCTACTTCCACTTCAAACTAGGATTTTTTCTATTTTTTTCTACTTAACATCAAAGGACATTGCAAATAAAATATTAGAAAAAAAAACTACTTATGCATATTACAAATACGGCACTTGAAATCACCTTTTCAGCAATGTTATGCGTGTATTAGGTTGATTCGCTCTTCCAGTTTACAGTAGCAAAGTACGTAAAGATGAGAAACAAGATACAACTAAAAGTAAAAAACAAAACGGCAATATAATCAAAATAAAACAGGACGGAGTGCACACACGAAAGTTCTTAGAGTTTAGGAACCTAGTTGAAATAGAGCTTGTAAAAAAAATGTAGTATTAAATTCTTTATTCAGGGATACCTAGATATGGCCACTTCATTTAAATTGCCTTTCGACCTTATCTTAAAGGGTTGCTTCAAAACTGAAAACTGGTTAATTTTTTTTTCCTTTAAAGCTTTATCTGTAAGCTACTGACTGGAAACATAAAAAAGGATGTGTAGCAATTCTAAGTTCTTTTCGCATTTTTGCATTACATTTGGCCCATCTTTAGTACCCACTTGAGTACCGGGTAAATTCCGGTTACATTAAACCTGCGGGGTAACTTTGATCCAAACCTCTTCACCAAGCCACCAATAATAACACAGAACAAAACTTTTATTACTTTTTCCTTGGTTTTAGAAGTCTGGGTCAGAGTTACCTAAAGGACCAAAGTACCTAACACGTTACATGTCTAATTTGTGGTTCTAAAAGAAAGTCTCCATCTTTTTAATTACTTATTACTATTACCAGGTGATCCCCTACCTCCCTACACGGGCAAGCTCCGCCTGTACAACATGCGGTATTGCCCATTTGCACAGCGCACCGTCCTAGCCCTGAACGCGAAGAACATCGACTATGAAATCGTCAACATCGATCTCATGGACAAACCTGAATGGCTCACCACCAAGAGTGCTTTTGGTAAGTTTTATGCCTAATCTAACATAACAATAGGGTACTTTTTTATGTTATGAAACGGCAAACAAGCAGACAGATTACCTGATGGTAAGCAATCAGCGCCGCCCATGAACTCTCGCAACAACGGTGGAGATATGAGTGCGTTGCTCACCTTCTTAGGATTAGGTATTTGGAGATTTCATTTCCAAAGTTGACGATGTTATATTTGCTTGCCACTTGTTCTGTAACTTGGGTCGTCAGAGGATCATACCTAAATTGGGGACATTTACAAAGTTCTTAATATAAAGAACATCAATTTTAAAAATATTGTCAAAAAAGACGCTTCGCCAATCATGATTGCAACGTCCAAAGCGGCCTAAGGACATGGTTTGTCTAAAATGCATTGATAAAACTAATCTCATTAGGCTTATTTTTTTTTCTTCCATAGGAAAGGTGCCAGCCCTAGAAATAGCAGAAAATGTATCAATTTATGAGAGCTTGGTAACGGTGGAGTATTTGGACGATGTCTACCCTCAGCGACCTCTACTCCCTAAGGACCCGGTGAAGAAGGCCAAAGACAAAATCCTTGTTGAAGCTCTAACACCGGTAAATATACCTATATTTTTATTGTAACTTGAGAATTTATTGAGTACAGTATACGATTAGTTTTTTTTTTCTAAATTTCAACTTTAGGTGCAGGCAAAAGTAGCGGAATTGATATAGCAACTTTATGAAAATTAGAAAAATAATAATATTTTCTATGTGTAAGTCGGCAAACGAGCTGATGGTAAGCAGTCAGCGCCGCCCATGAACATCCGCAACAACAGAAGAGTTACGAGTGTGTTGCCGACCTTTTGGAGATTTAGGAATTGGGGGAGGGTAAGGATTGGGCCTCCGGTAACCTTACTCATACGGCGAAACACAACGCTGTGATTTTTTCACGCTGGTTTTCTGTGAGGACGTGGTATCACTCCGGTCGAGCGCGCGACCCATTCGTGCCTAAGCATATGGCGTTCCCACATTTGAATTAGATCCAAAGTCTATTCTGTGATATTTACCAACTTAAAATTGTAGGTAAACATTATAACACTTTAAAAGGCTATTAAAACAAGTAAATATGACCTGCTTTAGATAATCGCTTATTGTATTTGAAATGTACCACTGTATCAAGGCATTAAGACTTGTACCTACATAACTTACATTATCACTAAGATCTACATCTATTATCTTATTAGAAGTTCCTTCACAATACCTTCTTTACTTAAAAGACATAGCCAAATGTATTAGGTATATTTTAACTCAAAAGTAGGTGCTTAAAATAGGATCTAAATGGCCATTTTTTTTCCTTAAAACCTTGCATCTAAAGTGAAGTGTACTTCGGCATTGAAACTACCATTGAGTTGGCTTTAATCAAAGCTAATTATCATCGAAACAATAGGATTGAAAATAACTGATTAAATTTATAAAAGGTGTATTTATATTGCCTAGGCACCTACCGATATTTTTTCCAGTAGATAACGAAAAAATTTTAGTCGACGCAGATAAACTTTGACTACCTTCTCGAGAGAGAAAAATGTTTAATAATCTTAACTGATTACTGAAATATGATTTTAATAAATAATTGCACATTGAAAATCAGTTAAAAATTAATTTTACTAGAGTAAACCATGGCATTAATATTGGATATTTTGATGTAAGTATTTTTAAGTAGCAACAGGCTCTTCCCAAAAACTTCAAAAATCAACCAATATTTTCTTCCATTTCAGATCCACACCGTATACTTCAAACTAGTGAGAGGACCAGACACAATCACGGAAGACAACATCGCTGCTTACCACAAGAATTTGACCTTTATCCAGCAAGAGTTACAAAACAGAGGTACTAAGTTCCTCGATGGAGACCAGCCTGGTTACGCCGACTACATGATCTGGCCTTGGTTCGAAAGGCTGCATGTCATCAAGCATGATCTTGCAAGACTGGACAAACAGAAATACAAGTTGCTGGTGAGTGGGAATGATATTCCATATCTTCTTATCAAACGCTTTATTTAAAACACGTTGCAGGAGTTTGATAACAGTTTTTATCGACTGTTTGATTTGTTAGTCTCCCCTGACGGCTTATTGGAGTGTGTTTATTTCTGTATCTGTTTAGAAGTATTATGATAATTTAAAGAACCAATACCTATGCGAAATCTTAAATATAGTTAGGTACACATTTATTGTATCTCTGATAGTAAACTCTGAACATGGCATTTTTCTTTAAACTTAAGTCAATTAGCTTAAAATGGGGGGTATCACTGCTCAAAGGGCAACTCCTCCAAATAGAGAAACAATTTTAAGTGGCTTTTTATAAATCTTTATTACCTATTTATAATTTTTTACACAAATTCCGTGTCTTAAAAGACATTTTGGACTATACAAGTATAAACAAAGCACCGAATCGTCTGAATTTTGTGCCTAGCCTATTTTCGTCTATAAACACAGGTTTGGAATTATTGCGCAATATTATGAAATCGCTTTACTATCGCGTGTGGCATGACTTGCGTTTTTTGATATTATCATGACATGTGTTATATTTAACAATTTTAATATCGATCCTAAAACCTACATGTATTATCTACCTTGTTGGTCGCTCGGTAATGGCTTGGGGATTATGAGGACACTATACTGAAATCAGAAAATTTCTAGTACTGGTTTTAATAAAGATACTGTTAGGATCTAACTCGTCGAATAAAAATAAAGAATTACCAACATTCTACGTTTTTTTAGTCCAAAAAATCAAAGATAGGTAACCTTAGGGAGCCTTGAAGAGCACAAAAAGTCATTTCGTTGGCATTAGGAAAAATATGTCATAGATCAGAGTACCTATATACATAATTGTACAGTTAAATGGAGCTTTATTAATCTTTAAATTAACAAACCTAGCGGTCGATCTCGCGAGGTGTGGTAGCGTATTTCAATAAACCTTATTATTTTTTCAGTTGGAATACATCGACAATATGTTCCAAGACCCCGTTGTGGCAGAATACAAGCTGCCAAGAGAGGCTTTAGAACATTTCCAAAACCAATATAAATTGGGACTGAAACCTGTTTACGATTTGCTGATCCAGAAGTAAAGAAATCGCATTGTATTAATTTTTAAGTGTACTTTGTAATACAAAGGTTCACTTTTATTTTGTTTACGTGATTGAGATTTAAATATATGTACCTACCTAAAAAGTAAGTGCAAATGTTTTTAAAAATAATGATTTTATTTTGATAATAAATATTTTTTGTTGCATAACATTTTGTATTTTTTTTTAATGATACAACCCTAATTTTTGCCGCTGACCGTTGAGTCTCGTTAATAAGCGTTAATTTTCCTGTGGAAGCTAAGAGACTACACATTTGTCCTCCATCCTCCTATGCTCCAACCTCGGGCTTTGACCATTTTCTATAATATTCCTAGCAAATTAAATTTTTAAGCAAAATCCTTTCTAGTTTGTACCGGATATTTCAGTGGTAGTTTTCGAAAATATATGATCTACTTACGTACCGTATTCGGCCAGTTACATGCCTCGATAGGAGGATAAAAAACGAACCTGATATAAAATTTATTTTATTTTACGTGTCGAAGATCGATATTTTTTCAGTTCCGAGTTACCCGTGTGTGTTAGTGATAAATATTTAGGTTTAGTAGTTCGGCTATAGCCATGGTGAACTACGCCCTTCTGATGCCTTTTTAATATTAATAGAAACCAATACTGAATGTATTCAGTTAACTTTTGGTGTTGTACCAAATGTTAACAGGGAAAAACCAGCGTGCTTGTCAAGGGCGAGGAGTTGAGTCCTGTAGATACACCTATCTTTTCCTAGAGTCCAATTGTATCTAAGCCCTACTGGGGCTTAGCGTTTAGGGCCGAGACGCTAAGATCCAGTGGAGCCGACATATAGATAGGTTGTCGAAGCACATAAGTTCTGCAGCATATGCTATTGCAACACACAACAAAAATGTAATATTATTGATGATATATACATAGATGTACATATAACGCGGTTAGTTTATTTTACCCGACTACGGCAAAGCAAAAGAAGGGTTATGATTTTGACATGCTAGATATGTATGCATGTATATGCTATGGCTATGTATGTATGTATGTATGTTCATCTATTCCCATAGATGAACGTACATACATACATACATTGCTTTGGATACGAGGGATCGTAACTTAAGAAAGAGTGAGTATGATGCTATAAAGAGAAAAGCAAAAAAGGCCGTGGCTATTGCCAAAGCAAAAGCCCAGGACAAACTATATGATACATTAGCCAGTCCTGCAGGCCAGAAAGAGCTGTACCAGCTCTCTAAAATGAGGGAAAGAAAGGCGAGGAATGTTTGCCAGGTAAGATGGGTAAGAGATGAAAGTGGAATGGTTCTATCAGATAATGACAAAAAAACTACGTTTAAAAAACCGACTTCAAAAACAAAAAAGTCTCAAATAATTAAAATAGATATTTTAATACCACTCTTACATACGCGAAGCTAATACTTTTAATATTAATAATAAAACACTATCTATTCTATGTGCTACCTATTCATAGGTTTGAAGTCGGTGCCAAGCCCTAAACAGAATAAACTAGCCTTTTTAATGTTCCCACTTGTGGGACACAGGCGACACACTCCTCTCTAGGAGAGGGAAATTTCTTATCAATATAAATAAATTAAGTCCAAACACCAGTTCAGAGAGTTCTCTAGACTGTCCTTCGTCTTCATCATCGGATCCCATTCTTCCATCTAAGTGTAGGTAAACTTCTTCTCAAAACCAATTAATCAAGCTCAAACACAAGGTAGCTACTATGAATCGTTAAGGAGTTTTCTTGACTGTCAATGGTCTCCATCATCAGGTAAACTGCAGACCTTCAGTAGTTATCCATACAGGTACAAAAATATCATCAAAATAAATGGATTAAGTTCAAACACGAAATAGTTACTGTAAACCGTTCAAGAGTTCTCTGAGCTGTCCTTCGTTCTCATCATCAGACCCTCAATGACAGTTACGACCAAGCCTGGTGCAAAGTGATCACCAATACGAATCATTGAAGCCCAAACACGAGGCAACTACTCCAAATAGTCGTGGAGATCCTTCGACTGTCTTCCAGCTCCAACATCAGTCGACTTCGACCTTCGTCAAGTTGTAGTGTTCCAAAATACCTACTTAAACATCATACAAAAGAACTACTCGCCCCTACAATTTTTGAAAGTTCCCCTCGATTTCTCCAGGGTTCCATCATCAAATCCTGACCTCATGACAATGGGACCAAATGGCAAGTATACCCTATCAAATAAAAAAAAAGAATTTTGGAAATCGGTCCAGGGTCTTCGAGTAATCGGTGTACATACATAAAAAAGAAAGTACGCGTCGAATTGAGAACCTCCTCCTTTTTTGAAGTCGGTAAATATCAAAGAGAGGTTGAAGGAATATTTTGAAAGACTTATGAATGAGGAAAATAATTGGAGTGGGGTTTTAGAGAATAAAACAGTGAATGTGGGGTTAGTGATGAGAATGGTTAGTATGGAGGAAGTCAGGGTAGCAGTAAATGGAATGAAAAATGGTAAAGCCATGGGCCCAGATGGAATACCAGTTGGGGTGTGGAATTAATTAAGAGTAGATTGATGGGTATGGTTGGCGTTGTTCTTCAATAAATTGTTGCAGGAAGAAGCCATACTGATGAATGGTGCAACAGTTCTTTATAGAGGAATAAAGCTATTGTCGCATACCATGAAAGTATAGGAGAAAGTTATTGAACGGCGGCTGAGAGAAGAGAGTGAAATTTCACATAATCAATTCAGTTTTATGCCTGGTCGTGGTACAACGAATGCCATATTTGCTATACGTCAGTTGTGTCTGAAAAATACAGAGATTCGTTGACTTCGAAAAGGCATACGACCGGGTTCCTCGTGATGTTCTGTGGTGGGCCCTTAAGGAGGAAGGTGTGCCTGGGAAGTATGTGCAGTTGATCCGATTAATGTATAGTCGCTTCAGTAGACAAGTCCGGTCTGTAGCGGGCACCACTAACTTTAAACCAATGGTTGGTTGGTATACATGTAACGTGTGACTACACCTTTCAGTATTCTGGAAATCTTGTTTTATACTTTTTCAGTGTCGTTCTTTGTTGTAGTTGGGTTTCAGTTTTTATACTTTTAGTTATTTCTATAGCATCATGTATGTTATAAGTTATTATGTTGTGGGTTAGGGGGAATGCTGCTGATTTTCATATTTTGTTCTGCAGAAGAGGGCTATTCGATCAATCTACAATAGATATTAGTCCTAGGCATTCGCTCAGGGAATTATTTAAAGAAATTAAAATAATGACAGTTGCCTCTCAATGTGTTTCCACGATATACGTAATATAAACTCGTGGGGAAAAGTTGTAAGTATGTTGTGCAAACCTATAGGCTACAGAAAATACGAGGTTCGTTCGGACTTGGGAATGAGATGCTGTAAAGTGATGTTGATACGTTTGTAACACAGGTAAAGTAACATTTTTTACATAAGTACTTACAATTTGACTACGGAATGCAGGGTTCTCGTTGTTTGATTGTTAGGTGCTTGTTTAACAGATTACCTAGTCTTCAAACTTCTACAAATAATTCAATGTCCAAAAATTATCTAAATTGGTAAAGGCATTGTTGAGTTATAACATTACAACGAAAAGTGGTATTGTTTGATATATAGAATTTTAAATTCAGATCAGACCAGACTTTGGCCGAGTTTTTTCTTTTTTTTTTCTTAAAAAAACGTTGCCCCACTCTGGAATTTTCTTCTGTGTCATGGGTGCGGTTACAAACATACAATTTCACATACACATGACACCCACACCTGGAACAACAATTTGTGGATCACTCAAAGTGTTGTTCAGTGCGGTAATCGAACCCGCGACACGTTGCGTGGCAGTGCAGTCTAAAGTAATAAGGTATAAAGTACCTATATAATCTCTTTTTTTTGGGTAAGTCATCAAATGGATTCTTTCGTTCTCCGTAAGGGTGAGAAGCCACCCCGTATTGCCCCAAACCCCGATTATAAGCTGCGCAATGCGTATATATCATGAACTACATACTGTGATACTTAGAAATCAAGAATTTTCAGTTTTGGCAATCCTCTAAAGTAAAATTATGAAAACCCTCTAGTATTTATAGCAGCCAAAGCTATCTATCACTTCAGAAACCGTTTATCGAAGCACGCTAGTTGCGGGTGAAACCGGGCGAATGTAACTAGTAAAATAAAAACATATTTATGGTTTACATAAGGACAATTTATTTAATAAATTCTGGAGTTTTGAGGATACAGCAATTAGCACCTAGGTACTTAATTGTGTCTGTAGGTACAGATTCTAGTTTACAATCGTGTAAAATACTAGCAAAAATATCAGTTGATTTACATAATTTATTAAAAATATTACCTTAGTAATTAGTACTGATATTTATACTTATTATTATAAATTATAAATTTAAATAATTTACTAACTTTATCTACTATTTACATTTTAAAACTATGCATTCCGAAGCGTAAAGTATAAATATACTTAAAGTTATTATAAAAATATCTACAGATTCATGGCACTACTTACTTTACTACTTAACGTAAATTTAAAGATAATACTCTTATAAACACACATAATCTTAAATAATTATTAAATATTCAATAATATTAGCACACTTCATTACCTAAGCATTCATAAATTATCTATCTAAAAAATTATAAAAATAACAATTCGGAAATAAACGTAGGTATAAATATACATATGTACCTACAAAAAGAATAAAAAATCACAAATCATAACTTAAAAAAAGTTGTGGAACTTCGTTTGAATTTAGAATAGTAAAATGGCGCGAATTTGTTGCTAAAATGAATCTTTGGTACAACTCTATAAAGCTTAGATCACACCATCGCCGTCTAACGAGCGAAACTCTGCAAAAAGGTCGGTTATGTTTTGAAGTCAGTCCTAGAAAGTCGCTGATCGTATGTCGACTCGTATTTTCACTGCAGACGGTGTACCCTTTACAAAACACTTTGGACGAAGCTGCAAACTTTGCAATAGCTAAAAACTTAAACTCTTTCAAAGGTTGCTAAACTATTTAAGGTTTCATAGCGTTTTTGATGTTGTGTTCTGAGTACGCTTTGCTTGCTAAATCTCGAAGACTCTGTTCGGAAGCAGGGCCAAGTTGTTTCACCATCTTCGTGAAGGGACCTTCGTCGTCTTGGAGTAATTCGTGTGGATGACCGCACTCTATGATTTGGCCTGCTTCCATTACCTGAAATAATGACACCTATGTTAATATCGAACGATTGGAATAGGGAACATTTTAAGAAGCCTATTTCGCAATCGAGATTTACCTAGTTAGTAAAGAATAATTTATAATTATGACGAAACAATAGAAATATGGCAATTCCAGCTATACTACATTTTATCTTCAATAAGAATTCAGTCTAACTATTGCTTACAGAAGTTGAGTAAGAGATAAATTTGGTAACCTACCACCACGCGGTCGGAGTCAGCAACAGTGTGCAATCTATGAGCGACAGTTATCACAGTGCAATCAGCAAAGTGTCTGCGAATAGACTTCTGGATCATTGCGTCAGTTCTGCAAGAGATAAAACACGATTATACATTTGTTTCCTGTTGACGTACCTAAGTAGCCTCCAGATAGAGAGACGAAGAAACTTTTGAAATAAATCCTTCTAAGTGTCTACCGTTTTGTATACTTACGTAGGGTCAACGTTAGCAGTAGCCTCGTCTAGAACTAAGAGCTTGTTGCGTGCGAGTGCAGCTCGAGCCAAACACAATAATTGCCTCTGTCCTGCGCTGAAGTTAGAACCTCCTGATGCTACTGGAGACGACAGTGATGAAATGCTGCTCTTTAATTCCACCTGGAAAGAAAATGAACAAAATGATAAGATATTTGTATATACGCTAAGTAACGATAAGATAGGGCAAGGACAGAAGAAAGAGAAAAGCGCTAACTGACGATCAGGGACTATTTTTGCAAATATTTGAACATGACTGAAATCATTTACCTGCTCCAAAGCTTCCCAAATCTGAATATCAGAGTATTTGTCGAAGGGATCCATGTTGTATCGAAGACTTGCTGAGAATAGCACTGGTTCTTGGGGAATGATGGCAATTTTCGAACGCAGTTCCTAGAAGAAATAAATTAACGTTAAACATGTATAGATATAATTCGTAATCAATTGTATGTGTCAGTGTGATAATACTTACTTTAAGAGCAATTTTGCCAGTTTCAACGTCGTCAATGTAGACGTTGCCTTCAATTGGCGCCAGTCGGAAGAGAGCAGAGATTAATGAAGATTTACCAGCTCCGGTACGACCAACGACTCCAACCTGAAAGAAACTTACGTGTTTGAAAAGGCGGCCTTACAAAATTACGAACAAATTATTTTGAAAACTAATCTCTTTAAAACTGGAAGTGTAACTTTGTGTAACCATATTTTTGATCAAAATCTGAAAGCCCCAGAATACTTGACCAAAATACTTGACGAATTGAATAAAGTGCATGTTTAATGAATTTATTTTATGTTTCTCTTGTGTGTTCGAATAGGTTAATGTGGTTTACAAATGTTTAAATAGCGTAATTGGCTTCTGTCGTTCTATTTAAATAAATAAATAAATAAATTCACAAGGAACATACCTTCCATCCACTTTCAATGATAACGTTAAGTTTCTTCAGTACGGGATCAGCGTCCTTGTCGTATCGAAGAGTGAGGTCTTTGAAGACAACGCGAGCTTTCTGCGGCCAGTTGGCTGGTGGATTAGGTCCTTCGGTCTCCTCTTGGGGCAGCGATGTGAACTGCATCACTCTTTCCACCGATGTCATCTGTGAGATCACTTCTGTCGCTTGCTTGACTCCATACTGGACCATGTTCACCAAAATCAGACCCTGACTGATGGCTAGGCCTACGTTACCGGACTTGGTGTTACCTAAATGAAAAAATTGCTGTGTTAGATAGGTTTTTTTAATAACGTCATTGACAAATAACAGAGGAAAGTAATATTAGAAATTATTAGTTAGTGCTAATTGAGTTGAGCATTGATGATATTCATTCATTGATTTGGACTTAAAGTGAACTTACCGTCGTCCAAGAACAGGAAGGTGTAAGCAACCACAACAACATAAGCGCTGCAGCAAAGACTCAACCAGATGGAGAAGGCAGTGTTGGTGACCAGAGTTAAGTACCTGAAGAAGAAAATTTTTATTAAAATTGTGAAATTTATTAATTTTTACCATAAAATGGGCGTGATATTTTTCCTATTCAAAAGTATAGATAGGATTCGATGTGACTATACTATGTCTTGTGCTTCAGTAGTAAAGTATTTTTAAGAATACCGAGGCTCAATAATGGCTATTGAGGCTGCACTAGTAAGCATATGAAGTTTTGAAACTCACCATGCAGCTGTGTGCACGTCCTGTTTGTCATCAAATTGTGTCTTCAGCATTTCTTCTGCTTCACAGGCTCGCACTGTGCCAAGACCAGACATAGTAGCAGTGACGTGAGAGAACACTGGACTACGGGATACACCTTCAACTCTGAAACAAAAAAATAGCAATTAAAATAAAGGCAGTAAGGTATATTTTTCTGTACTATATTTTCTTGGAAGTCTTTTACGAAAAAGACGAAGAATACAACAGAAATAATAATAATTACCGCTTAATAGCCTGTGCAGTGCTGAGGTAAACGACGGTCAAGCCATACATGAAGATAGCGCAGACTCCAGTCGTCAGCAACATGTAGGGGTTCACGATAGCCACCATCACTAGAATACCCATCATCACCATGAATACCTGTAAAAAATATTTTTATTTTCTTATTTTTTTTTTTGTTGATGTTGTTTTCATTACATTAACATTTACCAATAAAATTATTTATTACGAAAAATGTATAAGTGATCCTTTTTCAATTTACCTGAATAGTGTCCAAGTACATTCTGGGTAGAATTTCATCAACGACTCCCATGTCTTTAGAGAATCTGTTAAGAATACGACCAGAGGGGTTGGTGTCAAAGAATCGCATTGTTGCACTCAGAATATTTTTGAACATCTCGTTGTGGAGCTTGATCGAACTGCGCATGCACACCCACAGGAACATTATAGCTCTGAAATAAATTAGATTGATCAATAATTATTTTCGTTTTTCTAAACAAACCTTACCGTGGAGCGAAACAAGTAAAAGGTGTCGATAGAAAGAGAGGACTTATACGTTGTCTAAAGGATATTGATAAAAATGGGTCATCTGGAGACGTTATCAGGATGGCAACATGAACTAAAAGCAACTTTGTTGTTGTAGTTTTATTCCAAAAGATTCAAGGGGAAGTCAAAGTTACTACTAACCTCACAGAAGTAGCAATGATGCATCCGACGATGGTAGCGGCCCAAATGTAGATGTAAAAGCGGTCATTGATTTTAGCAGGAGCCACAATTGTAGTATCAAATCCAGTGGCGTTTAGTATTGCTTCACTTGTTTCCATTGTATCATTAGAAAGGAAGGCTGTAGTGATAGCACCGAGAGTAGTAGTTATAGCTCCTTCAGTTACTGCAGACTCAGTCGCGTTCACAAGGGTATCGTTTGATGGAATTATGGTATTGTTTTCAACTCGGAAAAGAGGCATATTTGATATGTATTGAGATTCAACGTCGTTCATCCTGAAATTAAAATTTATTTATGAGTCTCATGTTAAACGTAAATGAAATGCTATAGATTTCAAATTTTAATAACTCTAATTAAAATATTGGCTCTTAATTTAATTTGCTTAAACTAAGAGCCAATTTTTTATTATTGCCATTTAATTCGAACAGCAAATACAAAAATATCTACAGTCTTTGTGAAAGTTTGAAGAAGATTCTGTAAGCTAGTATTTTCAAAGTAAGAAGATTTTTCTAAAAGGCTATTAAAATTCATTAAAATTACCAGTGTGTGAGCCACAAATCGCTGACGGACGTGATAAATTGTGCGAATAGAATGGCGAGCACTGTAGAAGAGAGTAAACAGCAACCAGCTCCAATACCGAAGTATTTGGAATACACTTTCCCTGGGACACGACCTGCAATTATACAACAGACATAATTTGTAAGATATCGTAAGAAAAGTAAAGGACGCATAGATGCGAAATTTTCATACAACCATGAACAAAAAAGAATTGCATGAATTAAGAACTTTCTCCTTTTTGGTAGTCGCATTATCTAACTAAAGATTCAGAAATTACCGAGAAAGATTACTTTGAAGCTCTAACACAACGCTATTGTAAAGTCTGTTTAATTTCGGCTGTGAAAATAATCTTAAGCGTTACCAAAACATTTTGAAAATTAAACTTCAGATGGCCAATTTTCATAGTAAGCACTTAGCTGATGATACAGGCAATCTTATCTGAATTATTCTCAATTAAAATTGTGCTTTAAGTTGTTCTATAATGGTCTAAATTGGCATTAGCATTAGCTTCAACGTACCTGTGCCTGTGATCTCTTCTATTTCCACTTGTTGCTCAATCAAATCTTCACCACCGATACCTTCCGCTGGCGAGATACTGCTTGCTTGGGACTGTATAAGAAAATATGACTATTTAATACTCATTGTCATAATAGGTACACATCTCAGTTTACAGATTCATGCAATGATATTATAAGTAAAATGGTGTAGATACAGATACAACATTCGATTTTCAAAAACGGCACACTAGAACAATTCGTATGATTAGACGTGAAAGTGGGATGGCATGATTCAATAATCGCGAGTGAAAAAGAGACAAGTACGAAAAAGTAATTGTTGAAAAATTTATGTATTGCTGAGCGCTTATGACCTATATATACACCTTTTTAATTATAATATCATTGGACCCATGTATAAAATGTTGAAGTGATACGTGTTGGACTGGGCCTCTGAATGAGATGGTGCCTCTGAATTAGCTGAGTGTTTAACTTTTGCACTTACCCTGACAGAAATGCTTCTCTGCATCTTGATATGTTCGCCTCCAGTAGTCGCCTCTTCTTCCTCGTCTTGTAAGAGTTCAGCAAATAGTGGCGTACGTGATACTTCATCGAAGGAACCTTGAATTTCTACTTCACCCTGTAATAAAATATAGATTAAATTAACAATTCAATTTATTTAAATTTCGAAACAAAAATGGCAACGTATCGAAAATAAAAAAAATAAGTACCTAAGAAGGTGTGTTCTAAGTTTGAATTTAGTAAAGTTGCCGTTAACCAATTCCAAAAATGTTGCGTTCTAAAAAAAGTGATTTCGATTTCGACAAAGCTTTGGTCAATCTGGATTTTAATAATAACTAAAACCGTTAGTCGTTGGTTTAATGAATGATTTTTTTGCGAGACAAGGAAATAGGTAGGTATATGTATTTTTATTAGAGAATAAAAAGTGTTGAACAGCTCAATAATCATCCAGCGTTTCTTATTTAGTACCTATGTGTTTTTTATTGAAATAGGTTAATACATAATTGGTCATGATCCATGGTCATGAGCAAAAAGTATTATTTCAAGCAACAATATTTTGTTTCATTTTCAATTAATTTGGTTTGACGACTAGAACATTTTGTGAAACTAACGCAGAAAAGATTCTAAGATTGGGAAGACCTAATCAATAATTTTCATACATTAAATATTTTATAACCTATAAACTCTTTTCTTATATTCTTAGCAAATTATATATTAGTTGAACAAATACTTTTGGCTATCGTAAAAAAATTCTTTGATAAACATTTAATAAATGTGTCACAGAATCCCTGTCTACCTATATCATTATTCAAATAACGTGTCATATTGTGGTGCAATACTTTAGGTAATCTCTTTGTAAATAAATTATAATTACTTAATTTTTTATCTATACTAGGTAATATTATAAAGAGGTAAAATTTGTAAGTTTGTATGTAGGGGGTACTCTTTGGAACCACTGGTCGGATTTCCAAAATTCTTTTACTGATAGATAGCTACAGTGTTCCTGAGTGCTACAGACTATAAAACATCACGCTGCGATTAAATGGAGCCGAGCAGCGGGAGAAACCGCGCAAGAATAGCTAGTATCTAAATACTTACATGATTCAGGATGACAACTTTGTCTGCGCCCTTGAGGTGATGAAGCTGATGCGTCACCAAGATTCGAGTAGACTTTTCGAGGAGTCCCATAACACATTCAGAAACCATGTGCTTGCCAACATGGGTGTCCACGGCCGACAAAGGATCGTCAAGGAGGTAAATGTCAGCCTGAGAAAAAAAAATTAAAAATTAATTATTGTTTGGGGTTCCCACATAAAGACGCTTTCGGGGAGACTAAGCTCTGCTGTTTTTGCAGTTAGACAGATAAGACAGCTCACAGACGTGAACACAGCAAGGCTTGTCTATTTTAGCTATTTTCACAGCATTATGTCATACGGAATTTTGCTGTGGGGTCGAGCTGCGGAAGTAGAATCAATATTTATTCTACAAAAGCGGGCTATCCAAGCGATATATAACTTGCCCCGTCGCGAATCTCTGAGAGAACTATTTAAAACGATAAATATCCTGACGGTGCCTTGTCAGTTTATATATGAAAATATTATGTATGTAAGGAAAAATTTGCAATTATTTGAAAAAAGAAGCGATAGACATGATTTTAATACAAGAGGCAAAGATAGGCTGGCTGTGCCACGATTCCGTCTGTCCAAGGTACAGAAATCCTTTATGGGGTTCTGTGTAAATTGTTACAATAAAATTCCAAGTACTGTATTGAATCTTAACGAACGAAAATTTAAAACTTATATTAAACGTGAATTGTGTAGACAGGCATACTACAAACTTTCAGATTATATTGAGGATAAGAATGCCTGGCAGCGTGTTGATTCGGCTCCACTGGACAATACTCAAATATAGTCAGCAGTTAGGTAAAATTCTCAAAAATAATGCATCCTTAATTTATATATCCAAAAAGTTTATATAGAAGCACTCTTAAAGATTGTGAGTACGCATATGTGAGCGCCATGTTCGAGACGACAAAGGAGTAAAATTTTATGATAGGTCCCCTCATTTGTTCCTTTTTTTTAACAACTTGTCTCTGCATTGTTCTCACATAAGGGTACACTAATGTATACTATAAATGTTATATTATTGAAATTGTAAAACATTTTTTTTTTAAAAAAAGAGTAACGAATGGAGTTTCTTGCTCGTTCTTCTCCATTCGAATCTACAATTTGGAATGAGCACCTAGCTTCACTGACGAACAGACTGACAGACTACTTTTCTATTTTGACGTTTCAAAAGTACCTATTTATGGTTTAGTTGGAATAAATGATTTTGACTTTGACTTTGACTTTGTTTGGTATTGGTAATAAACCAATATGCATTATGGAGATTATTAATTTTCGATGTAGGAAAACGTTGATGTCATAAATTTGCATGTTCCGATATTCGTTGGTAGTCTTTTAAGTGTAAGTAGCTACAGACAGGTAGGTATCTACATATAATAACCTTATTTTTTTTTGTAAATATATTTACTTATTTATTTGAATTAAAAATAAAAGTTCTTCTTATTTCATAATTTCATTATAAGTTAGAATATAATCGCAGCCGACCCGCACGCTGCTTATAATTAAGAGTCCCGTTGTGACTTGAAATTAGTAGAATAATTCACGTGAGTAAGTAATCATTTTTAATCAGTTATGTCTCAAGATCAACTAAAAGGCATACACATCACACAGGTATATCTAAGAACGACACGAAAGGAATCATTCCGTACCAGCGCCTGCGGTGGGGGAATGAAATGTCTTTTCAAAATGAAACAATGAAACAATGAATTTATTTTTGCAAATAGGCATAAACCGGCACTTTTACACGTCAAATTATATGTGAAGAACTAGATAAAGCTATTTCCTATCTGACTACTCTGAGAAGAAATGCCGAAACAATCTCAGAGGTTAAAAAATAATTACTGTATCAGCTTAGATTATGGTTAGAGGGTATTTCACCTTTAAAAATTTACATTAAGTCATTTGTAATCCATATCATATGAGTAAACCAATTTTACAACTCTCGTTACTCTCTCAAAGATAAGTACCTACCGACCGACCACTTACTGCAAAGTGCCAATATATCTTTAATATATGCAACTTAGCTTAAGTTTAATGACTGGACGATAAGACAGAGATTACAGTTATCAATTTGCTTAACAAACTCTGCATTTGTTTACATTTAATAACCAATCGCAATCAATGAATCGTAAAACCAAACACGAATTTAAAACATTTGACGTGTTATATGCGTCAGAGTGATTTTTAGCGAGTTAATAAACTTTTTCATTTTATTTTTCAAGTTTCTGAACTTGATTAAGGTATGTTGTATATATTTAAAGCTGTCTTCTATTGCTATGCTTCTTGTATCTGCAGGTGGTCAAAGGAATTGCTAGAAAAACTTCGGTTCGAAAAGGATACCATGGCCTCATAAAAACGCCGGTTTCCCTGTGTTTAGCCCTCTGAGGATGCGGTTACCGATGAATGACCTAGTTCCCGAATGTCCTAAACCTCAAATCCCTAACATCCAGCAGGCCAGCAAGGCTCTTTTTTCAAGTGTGCTTCGGTGACATCGATAGCTTACCATCAGTTGATCTGTCTTGTTGTCCTATCCGATAAAGAAAGAGTTAAAGTGTATGAGTTTTAGTTTTCTTCTTGCCTTTCCAAGAAGTTTTCACTTTACTCTTGTATTTTCTAAGCGATTCTTCTAGCAGGTAAAAGAGGTAAAATTTGTAATTTGTAAGTTTGTATGTAGTGGGTAATCTTTCGAACCGCTGGTCGGACTTCGAAAATTCTTTCACTGATAGATAGTTACAATCTTTTTGAGTGATTTAAGCTTCAAAACATCACGCTATCTCTATCAAAGGGAGTCGGGCAGTGAAACCGCACAAGAGCGGCTAGTTAACTATAAAAATGATAGATATGAAAAATAGCCTTACCCAGGTTCTCATAATAAATGCATTTTAAAGATTTATTTATATTGTTCAATATTGACAGAAAATGATAAGATATTGATTTGTTCCATTGTCATTGACTTATCGGCCACACGTGATAAATTACAATCGTAATATTTTATCTGACCACTAATTAACTATATTATAGGGACATCACTTTTCCCTCACCGCAAGCGAGCATTCGTCTGGCGCGTGCGTTAATGGACATTAAATCGGCTTTTTAGTGTCTAAAACATCATTAGATACTTCATGTCTAATCGGTTAGATAACCAAACTTTGTATAGTTCCATCCGAAACTCTAAATTATAACATTAAAAAGGCATAACTATGTATAATCACAAAGTCGCTTTCTCTGTCCCTATTTCCCTATACATAGGGTTGCTTTTCTTTTTTTTGTCAGGTAAAAATCATCTAATGTTCCCGCCCAGTGTAAGGTGTAAGGTGAGAGAGAGAGAGTGTGTGACTCTCACTGACTAAAACCCCCACGTTCCTTCTCCGGCTCTGAGCCGAGGCAGCGGTGACTCATTGCGCTTAACCCGCAACCCCGGCAGGGTAGCTTAAATCTTTAAAACTACACAACGGATGCATACGTTTTTAATAGATAGAGTGATTGCAGAGAAAGCTTTCTATGTTAATAACATCCATTTAATAGTGGACAAATTTTGTATCAGCGTTGGACCCATGTGAAATCCGAGGCGAGGTTCTATTACTAGCTTATAAAATGTTCGACATAATTCAAGACCTATTTCTGTATGTTTGGTACTTACTTTTCTATAACAAGCCCTGGCCAATCCAATTCTCGCTCTTTGCCCACCACTAAGACTGATACCCCTCTCTCCAACCAGCGTAGAGTCTCCATGAGGCAGCAATTCAAAGTCCCTCAAAAGAGCACAAGCTCGAACCACCTACAAAGAAAGGTCATACATCGAATCATTGACAATTTATTGACACATGCAAATACGTACATATCTAAGTGTGCCATGCAGTTCTGTAATCTGTTAATGTTTCCTTGAATGCACAATATGTCTCTACGTACAGAACACAATTCACACAAATGTGATAAGGTTATGAATGAGTACATATGTTTTAACGGAAGAAAACTGGTTTTTGATGTATAATTCACACCTCAGACAAATATTTTTTTGTCTAAAGAAAAGCTGAATAATTCTTCTTTCATATACCTAATCTTTCTGATAGGATAAACTAGATGAAAATGAAATTTGCAATCAACTATCGCACTTAAGAGTATGATTTTTAAACAGTGACAAAGATTCAGATTTTTCCATTACATTTAGATATTTATTTATATTTGAGTATAACACCGAGCATTAAAAGACATCTTTTATTTACCCAAGATAAGTGCTATTTACATGAAACATACAAAAAATATGACATACCTTCTTGTAACGAATGCGGTCGTAAGGCAGGCCAAACAAGATGTTCTCCCTGACAGTAGCCACGAATAGCCAAGGCTCTTGACTGGCGTACGAAACTTTAGCTCCACCCAAATTGACAGTTCCACTTTTAGGCACCAGCTCCCCAAGGATCAGTTGCAAAAGCGAAGACTGCAAATAAAAAAAAAAAAAACATTAAAATCGGTCCATAAACGACGAAATCACTACATTGTATAAAACAAAGTCGCCTTCTCTGTCCCTATATTCCTATGTATGACGGATTTTGATTCTTTTTTAATGATAAGAACGATTTATGAGGAAGTTCTATAATTACTTATAATAACATCCATTAAATAGTGTTGAAATTTAGTAACAGCATTGCAACCTTCTCTATCTAGTACCTTATAAATATCGAATTAGGAAAAGTTGTTTAGATCATTATGTATTCAGACAAGACAGACGAATTTTATTTCCCGTAAGAAAATGTTTAATCCTTAACTATATTTGTCTCAGCGATAAGGGTTTTCACATTATTTTTCAGCAAAATACACACGCACTTAAGTATTTACATAACGCCGTCTGATATAAATATTTTGTTATCATTTTGGAATTTAAAATTATGTAATTTTGGTTTGTTTGGCGTAGGATTATAATATGGTCTCGAACAAAGTGAGTAACGTGGCAAATTACTAGAATGGATTAAAACAAATACTGTTTCTGGCTGTCATAATCTTACCTTTCCAGAGCCAACTCCTCCTGCGATACCAACAAACTCTCCAGGGGCAGCATTTATTGTAACATTCCTTAGAGTATCCACTACAGAGTCCTTGGTCCAGCTCGCGGTAACGTTAGAAATGGTCATACCAGTCACTCTTTGTTTCTCCTGAACCTTCTTCTCCTTTTCGGTTCCATCAGCCAATATGGATTTGGAATCGAGAACCATGTTTGCTGTCACCTTTTCTGGTTCATTTTCTTCGAGCAGCAAGAATTCCTGAGAGCAAAAGAAACAAATGATAAATTTGTTTTTTTTTAACTGTAATTAAAGTGGCTAATAATAACAGCAGCTGCTTTGTGTTTAGCCATGTGAGAGGAGTTACTGGACTCCTTAAATATTCAAAAGCCTAATCCTCAAAATGCCGACAATGCACTCGTATCTCTACTTTTAGTGTTACGGGCAGCGCCGATAGCTTACCATCAGGTAATCCGTATGCTTATTTGCCGATTCGTAAAAGAGAAATGTTAGGACACTTACTAATAAGACTAAGGAAAAGATCTTACCTCCAAACGTTTGATGGATACTCTGGTCTCAGCCAAGTACGCAAGTCCCATTGGCAAGAAGATGTTGCAGACCAGCTGCATAAGGTTGAAGTACTGGACCAAGGAGAAGGTGGTTTGAGCTCGGATTTCACCACCGATCAGGACGAATGTAGCGATAGCAGAGAAGAGAATGAACCGCTCGGTAAACACGGCTAGGGCAGTCGTGAAACCTTTGACGAAAGATGTCCTCAAAATGTAGCCGACTTCCATTCTGAAAATATAAGCCATGATAAGTCTTTTTCGAAGTTGGAGGAAGAGAACGAGACTGATTTAGATTAGAATCTCGTATAATAAACTTAGTACATGAGGATAACCAATTATAGGTACGGCACTTTCCTAGGAACTTTGCATGAAATCGTAACATATGACGTTACGAGTTTATGCCCAATAACTTATTTATACCCATACCTTCATTTATTAACAGCGAATTAATAAATGAAGGTATGGTTATCTATGTATAATATAAAAATCATAATCAAATTATGTCCGCTATTGTTACGTGGAGGTTCTTGTGAAAGAAAAATGTATTAACAACCCTGTCGCGGGGTGGTCTGCTAGTATTTTAATAAATTATTGTACTGAATAGTTCAAATACCATATTTTTGACCTTGGAAACTATCCAATACTTACTTTCGCAGTTGGTGGACAAGTTTCTCGAAAGGCTTCTCCCAAGCATACATTTTGATGACCTGTACTCCATCGACCAGCTCACTCATCACCTTTACTCTCTGGTCTGTACGTTTTGCTATTTTACCGCGAAGTTTTCCTTGGAGATGGCTCAAATATACTGGAAATAAAGGAATGGTTCTATAATAGGTCACAATCTCGCGATCTAAAATACTTAAACGCAGATGACAATAATTATTCGACCTTACCTCCGACATAATCATTAAACGATTTTCATATAACAACGTACAAATTATTTAAATGCAAAAAGACACAATGCATAAAATGTACACAGAATTACTTCAACGATTGTACGCTGTACAATTATAGGCGTCATCTGTATTAAATGATTTGACAGAAAAACGCATGGCTTACGAGTCGTAATAATTATTGTAAGCTGGCAAATGATATTTTTTTTACTACCCGTACGCGACCTCATCATATAAGGCATATATGTATGTACTTCTATGAAGATAAACATGCTCGTGTTTGCGATTGCAAACACGTTAAAAAATATTTCAAACGTAAAAAGTCTTCTTCAAGAACAACGAGTTAAGTCAAATTAAAAGTACTCTAGACAGGATAATTTAAGTGTTTTGTTTATTTCACTCAAAAGGTATTTGTATTTAAGTACTTGTACATCTTGCAGTACTTTTCTTCTGTATATCAAAACGAGGTCACTTAATATAAAAATAAGGAATAAGCTCGATAGGTTACTTAGTAGTTCAATGTAAACAAAATCGCGATTCATAAAATGTATTCAGCATTATTAGTAGATTACCTTGTACAAGAATAGTTTGAACTCCAACCACCGCCAGAGCAGCGAGGGTTGCAATACCCACATGCTGCCACACCAGGTAACAGACTACTGGCACCACAATAGGAGTGATCCAGATATAGTTTAAGAATAACGTCACCAAATCGAACCGATTCACGTCATTCGACATCAAGTTGATGACTTGCCCAGCTTCAGTATTGTTCAATCCAGCGCGGTTGAGTCTCAAAATCTACGAAACAGAAGAATACCTCATAGTGGTCTTGCAAATGTGGCTATATACTACATATTTTAAGTTTTATAGGATTGAAATATTACCTTTCTGTACATCAAGGAACAGCAAGCTATCCGGATCCTCATCCCGATTCGACCCTGAGCCAATTGTGTATGATTCAGCATCAGAGCTGACAACGTACTGAATAAGTTCATCAAGAAATTGTATATATGAGCTTCACGGTAGGATTCTGGCGTTTTTTCTTTTGAAAAGTATTCTATGAATAAGGCTAGGGTAAAAGGAATTAAGGGCCTGAAACAATAAATTTGAGGATTAAAGAATTTTTAGAAACAACAGGCCTATGTTACTGACAAAAAAATTAAGATGAATGTTAAATTTGTGATATTACCATCGATTAATTGCTGTACTTACCAGACTACCATAAAAAGGACACCAACGCAAAGCCCACAAAGCATGTACTCGAACCAGAAAGTCCTAATAATGGCTTTGGAGAAAGAAGGCTTTGCATCATTTTTCCTAGCCTCCTCTTGTTCTGTCTTCCACGCCTCTTCGAGACGGTCACCGAGGCGTCCCGACGCATCTCCACTGCGCGCTTGCCACAGATCGCTGATCGACAGACCTTGCTTGTAGCCTTTTCGAAATAGGCTAAAACTCCATCTGAAAATCAAATACAACATGTTCTTATGGGAATCTCTGAGGCGGTACAGAAGGGACAATGCATTTAAAGGCCGCATCTATAAATTAATTGATGTCATTCTTGATTGTACCATAGTAAAATATTGATATTTATTATCGATACACATCTTAAATATCTGCCTAATGATTTACAACTTCAAGAACATCATGATTTTAATATTGCCTCATCATTCCTGAACAAATTCTTTGTGGGACTTGTATAATTGTTACGTCATTTATTCTGTCTGTTACATGTAAACAGGAATTATTATTTCAGTTGATATCACAAATCACTGCTCAATGTTGTCTTTCCGTTATCTTTAGGTGTAATGACGACAACCAAGAAAATGCAAATCATTCACGCGTTTTGCTTCGTCATACATAGGTACGAAACGTTAGCCTATCTTTGGGATTCCTCCATCGCTTTTTATCATATGTTTGCCAACTTTTAGGCCGTAAAGTTATCATTTAAATAATTTATCAAAATAATGATACGTTTTTCTTATCTAATAAGTACATGAGACCTAAGAAACCAATACAGTTATGCCACGCCTGTGCCGAATTTTGTAAAAGCCGTTTTGGTAATTGCAAAATTAATACCAAGTCTTAGTGCCTAACTAATGTGTAGGTAATTTTTTTGAATTTCTGGCAATATTATTTTACATGTACTTAGGCTTATGTTTATGTTGTCTATGTCATATTATTTATTTTAGGGAGAGCATAGTGCTTATATAATCTTTGATTTCTTTGTGCGAGTCTATTGAAAGAGATGCAACAAATAGAATATGCAAAGGTTGTATCATGAATGAATGATATTGATATCTGAAAACTTTAGATTTAAAATTATACGTTCAATATTATTGGTAGCTACTTATTCTCCGAGTGACTCGATCTTCATATCTTTTAGTACATAAGTACATCCGTATCGAAGATGTGTTTAGATAGTTTATCAATACTGATCAATGACAGACGAAATATTGGGTTTTCTAAGGTTTTTGCTACAATCAAAGTTAGACGAAGTTACCACAAGGCCACCGTATTTGTTCAAGTGTAGTTAGTTCTAATAGTAATTTAATTTACTATTTTTTATTAAAATATGATGAAATAATGAATGATGAATGAATTCATGGGTTGACTGTAACCGCAACTGGTTCTATGACAGGTTGGCAGATTAAAGACTTTTTCCCAGTTATAAATGCACCTAAGTACTTAAGTATACACCATTGATAAATGTTGACGAAAAACATCGTGAGGAAAACTGTAAGTACTTTTAAATTTCCTTGCCTTGACCAAGCGTAGTGATTATACTTAAATATTTTCCATGCGAGATGAGGTTTTTGCTCAGCAGTGGGCACTTATGGACTGTTGTGATGTGTGATTTAAATTATAATAATAAGAAAAAAAATTGTGCGGTTATTATTTGGGTATCTCTATCTACTTAATTAATGTAAACATAGAAAAATACAAAGGAATAAAGTCCTTATAAACAATATACTTACGTTAAAAATAGTTTGGAGATCACGTTAGCTTTTTCATGAGGATTCTTCTCCGTTAATACTACTTTGGATTCCATTGTTTAACTTTTTTCGTCGAAGTTATTGTGAAAAAAATTTCATTGAAGGTTCAAAGTGGTTACGGCCGTCGTTAAACCAGGAGTTATCTGTAAACAAAAAAAAATTAAGAAAAAATTTATGGAAAATCTAGGCTACGGTAGATCCTGATGTGTAAGTTATTGAGGTAGGCCTACGTTGAAGAGTAGCAAAACGATATGGTTTAGATTTGAGGTGAGGGCATCATCTAATGATACTCCCGCCCTATGTGGGGCGAAGGAGAGGACTTACACAACGAATTGGGTAGTTTCCTAGGTCAAAAATAAATTATAATGACGTTTCAATACAATTAAATATTGAAAAATAACTATACTTTCATTCATCGATCGATCGATACACTAAATTTTAGATTTTTTTTAGCTAATTATTAAGAAATAAGTAAGCTGTTTGACGCAAAAAAAGTTATGACGTCATAGCTCAGTTTTTCATACAAATTTCATAGAAAAGTATTGTTTTTGACGTTTGGATAAAAGTATTGAATTTGACTAGTTGGAAACTACCGTACTAATGACTGTGTATAAGTTACCACAGATTTTAAATGTTGTTGTTTTTATTTTATTTTTTCTTTATTCTCAACCCTTTTACACTTTTATATATTCGAAGTAATGTTTTTATTCAAACTTTCAGTAGTTTTAGTCGGCCAATTGTTTAAGTATTTTTTTTATTTTTTATCGATCAAGTTTAGTATTATCGACAGTTATTTTTATCTGACAAGATAACAGTTCAATATAAATCCCGTCAATATCGCGTCAGATAATCTAAATTCGGTAAGAATATTCAACAAATTTCTATACGAAATACATATAGTAACATAATATAATTAGGTCATTATGCTAAAGCCGGAAATATTAGCAAAAGAATGTGTGACAACAACCTTTTTTTATATAAATTAAGGTCTAATTGCTGCCGTTTTGAAAAAAAAACAACTAAAGTAAGTAAAATAGTCCGTTCGTGCTTATAATATTGACAAATTACACCGATCTTTATTTTTTATGGAATATGGCTATAGATGTATGTATACAAATATTATAAAGAGGAAAGTTTTGATTGTTTGAATTGAATAGGCTCTGAAACTACTAGACGACTTGAAAATCTTTTATTTTTAGGGAGCTACACTATCCCCGTTGAAGAAACAGCGAGACACAACTAGCCAGTTATGTAGATGTACTTACATGCAACAACTTATAGTCAATAAATATCAACTGCAATTTCTACATTACATAGGTACTACGCTGCTTTGCAATTCATTTTCTTTATGTACTTCGAGTTTATGTACTTATACAACGAATAATCTTACCGGCAAAAAGTAAAAAGGACCTATTTTATTATTTATACATTTATACATATACTTGAGAAGACATTGGAGTTTAATCAATTTAATTATTACCTATAAGTCAATTAAATAGGCGAAATTCTGTAATCATAGCCAAAAAATTTTGTTGCCAAATGCAGGCCTGTATAAAAAAAACATAGGTAATATTTGATTGCTCGATACGTTACACCTAGTAGGTATAATCACAATGAAATAAAATATTAATTACTTAAACCGCTGTATACTTATATGGCAATAACAAATGACAAATTAATTGAACATTAGGTAAATGCATTCCTGTTCAATATTTTGATAATACGAATGTTACAACATTAGTTACCTAGACGTACGAAAGCAAAATAAATGAATAACGTGTATTTATTTATTAATCTTAACATATCACTAACTCATTTAACGCATGAATCAAAGCGCAGATTTACTATTTTTTGTCCGCAACACATTACCTAATGAAGCTGTAAATAGGTATACCTACCTGTGTAAAGATATCTTCATAGTTTTTTTCCGAAAGTATAGGTATGACAATAGATTTAATTAAAATGAATCTTAATTGAAAAATATTAAAAGACTTTAAAAATATTTGAATAGGGAATACTTAATAATTAACTTCTAGTGTATGTACCTTCGACACGTTATAACTCCCTATTGTTATTTATTGCCCTTTCATTCATAAAAAACACTATTTCATTCAATGTTAACAAACAATTAGAGAATTTAAGGTAGGTAGTAATAAAATAAAGACTTTCGAGATTTTTTTTAGTTAGGTACTTAGGTACTCTCAAATATTTCATCATCATGTCCATCGACAATTTAGTCTGGATATAAATATTGGAAGATGACAAGTTTGTTTCAATTAAAAAAAAAAACTTATTGTAGATAATTTAAATTTTCAAGGAAATGTCTATAATTTGTGCTATTAAATATACTAGAGTAACTATGTGTACCTACCGGTCTAACAAAAAATAAGTTGTGCCTAGTATTTTATATAATTATTAGTGGCTATTTTTATTGTATTTTATCAAAAGGAAAAAAACCTACCTACAAGGAATTAAATACAAAATATAATGAATAAAAAAAATCTTACATATATTATTATTTGTGAAACACTGATGCACTTTAGACAGCACTTCTCTGTATGATCGAGTTCGATAAAAAATTAGTTTAGTAATATTCTAAACGAACATTCACTATAAAATTTTACCCATACATATACTCGTATAAGTAAAAAAACGTATGTATTTAAAAAGAGAACACCACAATTTTCAATAATTGTGAACGTAGAAAATACTATTTCAAATTCGCGCCTTTTTATCTGTCAACGTATTTCGCGCAGGAGCGGCGGCACCGCACTGACAAGCGCTGTTGATAGTACGTACCAATATACGCTACGGTAAACTAGACTTAGTAAGTAAATTTATATACAGGCTGCTGCCTTATCAAAGTTGTAGATTCTTTCATTACATACGCCGCGATTTCGTAGTATCATCATTATTGCGTGATGAACCGACAGATTTTTAGGGTTACGCAACACTAATGGAAATACGCGATAGTACTTAAATGTTGCGCGGTAATCTAGTATGATTTTTTTCTCAGGTTTCCGTAAAACTTTTGTTTGTATTATTTGTTGCACAGAAGTAGATAAATTCTACTAATGAAAGCACTTTCAATTTGTTTGATCTTTTGATTTTCTCCTGAAAAATGGGCTGGGATCATATATACCTCATATCTTTGTCCTGTCAATATGTTACGATGAATAAGTTAAAAAAAACTATTATAATTCTCAATTTTGAGTACCTACATAAGTTGTTTAAGAAACGAAGATATTTGTAGATGATGTTAGTTATCTAGGTACAATATTGTTTCATTCATACGGAACCTTGTGGTAGCCATTGAAAATATTGCTCGACAATTTTATTTTGTTAGTCAGTAGAATAACTTTATTTACTTAATTTAGTGAAATGTAAGAAAACTTGCAAGGTACTAAATACTCGTAATACTTATATAAATATGGAATAATTATACTCAATATGACGACTCATGATTAAGTACAATGATTATATTGAAGGTAGACAGAAAAATAACACAATCTTTGATTATACACTTAATATATTGATAAATATGAGATCCGTGATTATTGTAGTTTAATTACACTTAGGGGTTGTCCATTAATCACGTGAGGCTTGAAAAGGGGGGGGGGGGTTTGATAAAAATCACGAAAATAACACAAGGGGGGAGGGGGGGTGTAGTAAGATATCTCGTGCATTTATTTTTTCGTCAAACGCGCGATTTTTAAACAAATATTAAGCGGCACGGGCGGCGCGGCGTGTAGTGACCTTGACTCGCCGTTGCCAGGCAACGAACGGAGGCCTCACGCGTACGCGCCGCCGGCCGCCCGGCTCGGCATGCAGTCGCCAGTTATTCTGTTGTTTTGGCGCCGAATACATGCGTAAACCGTTACCTTGTACGTTTTTCATTAAAACAATGTTTAAAGTAGGTGATTTGTATAAAGACCTTTTCGCCGAGTATAAGAAAGGAAAAAAACCTAGTATTGCTCAGAAAGAATTTAATGAGTTGTGGGCTAATGCAAAACAAAAATATTCTACAAAAGAAGAATTTGTGAAGTGGGCGAATGATCTTCTAGCAGATTACCGCCGAAAGCACCAAGCAAAGAAGTCTTCCAATATTCTCTATTATTGTTCTAATTCTAAAAAGGTAAGTTATAACTAGTATTTGTCTGTTTAAGGGCATTGTCCTAATAAATACGACTTCATCTATAGTTTATTTGTAATATAAATGTTATTGTTAAATCTTCCAACATTTTTTTATTAGTTTTAGCTAGTCATTGGCGCACAGGAATGTTATATTCCATTCCATAAAAAATGCTGAATAAACATCACGTGCCCCATATGCCTACATATCACCGATCGCTGAACTCTAAAAAAGTAGGTGTATTGAGCTGAACCTTGTCTATGAGGCATGGGTTTATCTAACGTAAAAAATAAAATAAACCGTGTCGTGGTGGTTATAAAGGAGAAGGTTATATTACTATTGTTACACATTTTGCGCTTGTTTATATATTAATATCTTGTCGCTTTGTGAAAACTTACAACTATTTATGGATCATACTATTGAACTGAAAAATTTGCCTACTAATGAACGGTGGCAGTATGATATTGCATACCTACATATAATTACATATACATTATTCTAGTGAAAATGCGAGGATTGTGCATGGTTTGTGTGCCGTTTTGAACTCTTATTTTAATAAAAGAAAAAATAAAATTACTGGAGATGGTTAATTTATTTGCACGATATTATCTTTACTTACACGATAATAATTAAATTATTAATTTTCAGAATGCCAGCGAAAAAATTTCTGTTTTGCCAATGACATCCAATGAGCCAAATCTACCTGTAAAACTTCCTACGCCTGCGATATGCGTCTCACCGATCGGTACCGAAATTACTGACGAAGGCAATGTCACTACTAAAAGCACCTCAACAGGTAATAAACATCCCAAATTCGCAATATCAATAATTATTTAAGCAGTCGATTATTTATTTCTACTAATCTTATAAATGCGAAAGTCTGTCTGTCTGGTACGCTTTCGACGTCAAAATTTTTTTTCCATTTTTTTTTAATGTGCGAATTTTTTCCAAGCGTGATATAACCTGAAGTCCACGCGAACGAAGTCGCGGGCGAAAAGCTAGTATTATTATAATTCTAAATAAGAATTAGTAATTTAGTTTATAATCATAATTTCAATGTTTTCTTGTTGTTTAAATGTCGGTCATTCCAGGTGCTCGGAAACGTAAAGGTGAAGATTTGGATTGTAGCGACGAGAATTCACCCGATACACCAAGTGCAAGCAGCTCTATACTGCAGCCTGTACGTGCTACTCCTGCACAGGATAAGTTGAAGAATCAGATTTCTCTTCTTCAAATGGAATTTGACTTAGCTGTTCGTCGTAGGGATTTTCTGGGCGCCACTGAAAATGAGACACGTGATGTGACGAAACTGCGCCGAGAAATTGATAAATGCACAAAAGAACTACGGAAGAAGGAGCAACATATGCGTCACTCCCAGTCACATAGATTATCAATAAAATCAAAGATTAAACTTGCTTGCAATCAGAGTCCGATTGTAGCTGATCTTCTTAAGGCGCGTTCTGCCCCAGGTCGCCCACGCCTAGAAGAGCAACAACCGCAATTGCTAAAAACTATCGTCGATTTGGCTATGTTTGGTGCTTCTGCGGAGGAACGGCGTCGCTCAGAAATTGTTCGCAGTTGCCGAACACTTACTGACCTCCATGAAAAGCTAAAGGAGCACGGATTTCAAATTTCGAAGAGTGGCACGTATCTTCGATTGCTCCCTAGAAATTATACCACCTTGGAGGGTAAAAGGCATGTAGTCACTGTGCCTGTCAAATTGAGTCGCCCTGAGGCAGATCACCATAAGGCTCATGTCGATCAACATTTTTGTGTCGCCACAATAAGATCCTTGGAAACGCTGGCATCTATTCTCGGGCCAAAACAAGTGTTTTTTTTGTCCCAAGATGATAAAGCCCGGGTACCTATAGGTTTGACAGCGGCAAATAAACAAGCTCCTCTCCTGATGCATGTCGAATATCGTGTCTCATTGCCTGATCATGATTGGGTGATTGCTGCAAGGCACAAATTGATCCCTAGTGTATATGCTGGGTGCATCATAAAAGGAAATGATATGGGCCGTGCTGAAGCAGTTACTTATTCAGGGCCAACATACGTGGCGATTAGAAGTGGCAAACATTCCTCTTCGACAGCTTCTACTCATGCTGTGGACTTCAATAAGCTTGCTACACTTAACAATTTCAAGGAAATTATGCGGGATGAAGAAGGACGCCTGAAACCAGTTGTTCTGATTTCATCTGATGGAGGACCCGATGAAAACCCGAGATATCCAAAGGTTATTTCCCATGCCATACACCACTTTGTCAAGCATGATTTAGATGCAATATTCATTTTTACGAATGCACCCGGCAGAAGCGCATTCAACCGTGTTGAGAGAAGAATGGCGCCTTTAAGCCGGGAATTATCTGGACTCATACTTCCGCATGATTTTTATGGAACTCATTTGGATGAGCAAGGGAGAACAAAAGATCATGATCTCGAAAAAATGAACTTTCAGAAGGCTGGAGAAGTTCTCACAGAAGTATGGACTAATATGGTTATCGACGGCCATGACGTCGTAGCAGAGTACCTCGAGCCCGATGACACTGCTGAAAGCTTTGTTCCAGACTTGCCTTCTCTGCAGTGGTATAGCGAGCATGTGCGAGAGAGCCAATATTTGCTTCAGGTACATACTAAAATTTCATTTATTATTATTTTATCATTTACTTTTCTTATCTAATATGATTAAGATATCTTCATATCATTACCAGGTGGTGAAGTGTGATGACCGCGCTTGCTGTGGAGATCTGCGGAGTTCTCTTCGATCTATTCTTCCTGCACGCTTCGTTATACCTCCTTACCCAATTTTGCAGTCGTCTAGTGGTCTATGTATTCCGAAGCCTCAAGAGCATGATGGCAAGACGTTTGCTACATTTCTTCTGCGTCGGTCTCTTGGAATCACCCCAACGCATGAGGGCTTTAACAAATTGCCGTATGACCTGTATTGCCCTAGTCTGCAAAAGGATCGTCGGCAACTTATGGAAAGGACGTGCCAGTGGTGTGGATTGTACTTCTGTACAAAGAAGAAAGTTAAGGAACATGTAAATTCATGTCACAAGCAACCTAATCCGAGCAGTAATAGTGTAGAGATGCACAATGTTCGTCCTTCACGCATCCTCACGCGACGATCAATCGGCAGATCGAAAGAAATTCTCTGCGTTGTGCGTGAAAATGATGACACCGAGTGGCTTGATGAAACCGATGTTGATTTTCAACAAAGCACAGTGCCAACAACTGACCTGCAAGATGCTTATCCAGTTGTTAGTGTTGAAGAATGTCTTGCTAATCCATGGTCCGAGGACAATATACATTAAATATATTCATGTACTAGAACAATACATGTTTTTCCTATGATTACACTCTTCGTTTATTATTATTGTTATGGCAATAAAAAAAAACTTTCAACCTGGTGTAGATATTTTTATTATGGTCCTTAATTTCAGAATAAAATAAGATTATAGTTTATACCCGTATTTAAATTAAGATAATATTCATAAAATTTTAAGATTCTTTGTAGGTACTAAAAATACACGTGATGTTGAGAAGGGGGAGGGGGGGTGGTCTTAAACCTCACTACGTATCACCAATGGGGGAGGGGGGGTTAAAAAATGCTAAAAAAAGATCACGTGATTAATGGATAACCCCTTATTAATATGTGTTAAAGTGATCAATTAAGATATTAGATAGGCGTTGTTAAAAATCTTTTTTACGAAGAAATAATAAAAAAATCTTCAAAAAGTATTTTA